AAAGTTATCATTGAAATTTTGTGGTGGTGGAGCATAATTATTCCTGGAGGTGTGGTGGTGGTCTAAATCCAGGAGGTGGTGGTGGTCTAAATCCTGGTGGGGGAGGTCTCCAATTTGGTGGTGGAGGCGGACGACATTGAAGTTACTTCCAAAATGTTGAGGGGGTGGAGGTGGAGGATATTGCCCACCAGGACCTGAAATTATAAGAATAAATAGTTTAAAAAATTAGCTTTAATAATTTTATTTTTATCTCAAATGTTTGTGAGCAATGTATAATAACATATAATAATTACAATGTATACAATACAATGGTAACATAAAAATTATAAATGAGCATATACCCAAAGCAAACATTATAATATTAAAATATAAGCATATATAAAAAGAAATCTCACGATTTTCTCATTGATGAGATACTTACCCCCTTGAGGTTGCCATGGTGGCGGAGGCGGCATCATTCGTGGCGGCGCCGGTGGCGGTGGTGGTGGTTGCATGTGCGGCGGAGGAACTGGCGGGGAGGTGGTGGATGAAGGCTACCTTGCGGTGTTGGTGTTACAGGCGGTGGAGGTGGCATCATAGTATTCATCATTGAAGCCATATGATGCGCAGCCACTGCTGCAACCGCCTGATGGGGTAGGGGAGGTGGAGGTGGCATCATGCCTGGTAGAGGAGGTGGTGCCATACCCATGCCACCAGTTGGAGCATCAGCAAACAATTGATGAGGCCTATCTGCTTGTGATAATGGATTCTGTGCAGCTAGCAAACTGTATGAGTAATTTTACTTAATTAGAATGTATATACAAATTATATATTTCAAATTTATAAATAAATGTTAATTTATATAATAATTTTTATTTCTAAAACTCACCGTTCTGCAGCAGAACCATGTCGCTCTCCCCTAGCTTCCTTTTTAAAAGCATATGATACCGATATAGGTCTATTTACACAGATGTTGACCATTCATTGCATCAATAGCAGCATCAGAAGCATCAAAACTGGCAAAATTTATGAATGCAAAACCCTTTGAATTACCAGTGTCTGGATCCCTCATTATCTAGCAAAATGCAGAATATAATTATATTAATTTTAATATTATATGCCAGCAGTGCTGAATTGAACCTGTTGCCAAAACCTCTAATGCAACTAGCATATATTATTACATGCACAATTCAAGATAATATCTATAGTTTTAAGTATAGGAATAATAACATAATACATTTGGTACCTTCGGCGTTTGAAGAATTACTCCAAAAGCAGAAAATGTGTCATACAATAATTTTTCATCAACTTCTGTGTCTAGATTTCCTATAAACACATTGGCACCGACATCCAGATTTTTCTGATGTGCTGAAGCTTTATTGACCCTAATTGGTTTTCCATAAAGTTTTATCATGTTCATAATTTTGATTGCATAGTCTGCATCTTCTTCTCCCAGAAATTCAACAAATCCATATCCTTGATGCATTTGAGTAACACGATCTTTTGGCATATGGACATTCACTAAAAAAATATTTTTAATTAAGTTTGTGAGATATTGGTATTGAATTAAATACTGTTAATTGATATTCTAAGAATGTTTCATCTCAATTCAATTAAATATATGTAAATAAATAAAGTTTAACAGCAACAAATTGTTTCAATTGTTACTATAGAATGCTTAAACAAGGAAACTTAAAGTATATATAAATATATATATATATATATATATATATATATATTAATTATTTATTTATGTGTGTGTGAGTAAAGAACAAAAAGAAACATGTAGAATGATCGATAAGCAACTGGATCATCCAGCCAAATTGTTTGGATCATTTGTAAAACACTAACCAACAGGCCCAGATTGAACAAATAACTCCCACATAAGACTTTCTGAGACTTTATCGTCCAAACCACCAACATAAAATAGTGGCATCTGCAAATGAAAGATACATTAAACATTTGTAAATAAATTTAGTAGGATAACCTATAAATTCGAAATCTCTTTTGATAACTACCTTGATTTCTTTCTGCTATCGGACCGGCGGCCATCGTGAAGATTGCTATAAAATGTACGAACTAAACTACATTTGTATTATTTGTTTCTCAATATTACTTTCATTGTTTCGTAAAAAATATAATCGAACAAACCGCTACAAGTGACAAAATGCACAGCAAGATCTGATTTAACCAAAGATAAGCGTGAGAGCTGAGAGCTGAGAGTGAACACTAAACGACTTGAAATCCTAATATAACAAGAGCATAGGTAACGATAGAAGCGCTTCAAGCGGAAGGAGCTGGAAACAATTCTCATTAAAAAATTAAATGTATTTTTGGAAATAAATAGTTTTTAACGTGTATAATTATAATCAGAGTAAATAAAAAAAAATTTTTTGATAGTTTAAGTTTATAGGAAAATTCTTCTTTGGGAAGTTAATAGAAACAATTTTTTCTTGAAATATACTTATTCGTACGTTATTCATTTTTACTTTTTTAATCAAAAGTTTCATTATTAATTCTATTAAAAATTGTTTGTTTAATAATGATAAAAAACAAAATATGCGAAATATCGTTTTAAAAATACTTAAATTATTAATTCAATTTATAATTTTCAATAATTGAATGAATTCAGCTACATGATTGTCTACCAGTTTTGCGATTTAAATAACTTCTAAATTGTATCGTTATCAAGCTATCAAATTGTAATAACAAATTTCTCAATCATTTTATTAAGTTTTATATAGTCAATTTTTTTTATCATGAAAATAGAACTTATAGCTGTTTAGATTTGAATTTCAAACTAAAATAATATGAAATATTTATTGGGGTCTAACGTAATTTTGTACTAAATGATTAAATTGAAAAATAAATAACGATTAGAAATATTCCATTTCAAATATTGTCATTGCAGGTCTGAAATTTGACCTTAGGTCACGTGATAGATAACAAGGGTCAAGTGTCACAGCAACAAACGACCAAAGGACTTTATTTTGTTCTGTCAGTTAGAACAGAAAGCGTCGAGTCGGGTGAGTCTGATTTTCTGAAGCCGTTGAACCGATAAGATTACATTTTAATGGTACAATTCGCCCGAAGTAAAGTGACATTTTAATCATGCGTATTTTAGTAGTTTGTTTTGCTTTAATTATCGTTGAGATCAACGGTTTTATAAATCAATATCCAAGGATACAACAAAGGTTAGTTTTTGGAGATGCTGGTGACCCATTGTTCTTAACTCCGTATATAGAAGGTGGAAAAATTATAGAAGCTCAGAAATTAGCAAAGGTGAATCACGAGAGTTTTCAAGATGTTGAAAGCTATGCCGGATACTTAACTGTTAATAAAACATATAATTCAAATTTGTTCTTTTGGTTCTTTCCTGCTGAATTAGACGCACCTAATGCGCCAGTGTTTATGGTTGCAAGGTGGTCCAGGTGCAACATCTTTAATGGATTATTTACTGAAAACGGACCATTTTATGTAAAAAAAAAGGATTGAAGAAAAGAAAGTACACATGGTCCCGTAATCATAATTTAATTTATATTGATAATCTGTTGGTACGGGTTTAGTTTTACAGAAAATGATTTGGGTTATTCATCTAATGAATTTGATGTAGGATTGAATTTGCTGCACTGCTTACAACAGTTCTTTTTATTATTTCCGCAATTGCAAAAAAATGATTTCTTTGTAAGTGGTGAATCTTATGCTGGTAAATATGTACCTGCCATAAGTTATGCAATTCATATTAATAATCCATCATCACAAGTTAAAAATTAATTTGAAAGGATTAGCCATTGGCAATGGTCTTTGTGATCCTGAGCACCAATTGAAATATGGCGATTATTTGTATCAATTAGGCCTTCTAGATGCATCGGGACGTGATTTGTTCCATAAATATGAGGATATTGCTGTTGAAGACTTGAAGAAAAAGGATTTCATTGCTGCTTTTAACATATTTGATGAATTGCTCAATGGCGATATGACAACTCAGGGGTCAATATTCCAAAATTTAACAGGTTTTAATTATTATTTCAATTACTTGCAAACTGATGATGATTCTAAAATGGAATATATGGGTGCATTTATTCAAAGGGAAGACATACGAAAAGCAATCCATGTTGGAAATTTGCCTTTCAATGTTGATAAGAAAGTTGAGGAACATTTGAAGGCTGATGTTATGGATACCATTGCACCACAGTTAATTGAACTTCTTTCTCATTATCGTTGTTTGATTTATAATGGCCAGCTAGATATTATTGTAGCATACCCTTTGACTGTTAATTACTTACAGCAACTTAATTTTAGTTCTGCAACACTATACAAAACTGCTGAACGCAAACCTTGGATTGTGGATAAGCATATAGCTGGATATGCTAAAATAGCAGGAAATTTAACAGAAGTAATGGTTCGAAATGCAGGGCATATGGTTCCGACAGATCAACCAAAATGGGCTTGGGATCTCATTACACGTTTTACTAATAATAAACCATTATATTAAATATTTTATATTTAGTATTGATAAAATTAGATTGTAATACAAATTTTATTTCAACATTTATGAAAATTGCACTTATAAATTTAATAACGATGCTGATGAATTACAATACTGTGTTTTATTGGTCTATATTCTTAGTCCAAATTGCTTGTGATACTTTTCTTATTTATTGTAGGCTTCATTTGCTTCCTCACTACCTATACTAAGCAATTTTTTACTTAATTCTTGAATCATATCAAATGTAAAATGATTTTGTATAATTTGAATAAAATCTTTGTCAGACAATTTACTGATAATTTTTATATAATAATCAGAAATAGCCATACAGATATTTGTTCCGCATATACTTTCTTCTTGAGAATTATTTGAATTATCTTTTTCCCAGACATCAGCTGACTCTTTTTTAACTTGTTATTTCGATATCTGCTAAATTCCAAATGGTGTTAATTTTATGATTACTCCTATATCAAAGGCTCGTCCAATGATGATAAAATTTCTGTAATGTTTTCTACAATACCTTGAGTATTCTGTGTAAATGGAACTAAATACATTATTTTGGTTAATGGGTGAAGAATAACATTCATACAAGAGAGTATTTCAGAGATATGCTCTTCATAAATTTTTATGGAATGATTCCCATATTGAGTAAGTATGCAATTGATTTCCTAGAAATAAATTGCAAATCTTCTGTTGCTTCTGTGTTGGTAAATTTGTGTCATCACCATCTAATAACTGAATTGAGAGTTGTTGCTTAAAGGCTTCTATATAACACCGCTCACCACAATGCCTTTACAAACATTTGCATAAATGTACTTGAAGAATTGTCTTCCATATCCAGCATGACAAACTTTGCACACATTGATATTAAGGCTTCTAATGCATTAAGTATTAAAATTGAATTTGTAGAGTTATGTAGAATAAAAGCTAATTGATCAATGAACTCAACTTTATTTTCAAAATGTTGAAACCAAACATATTCATCACCAGAATTTTCAAATATGAGTACCGAAGTGATAAATCTCATTAGTTGTATAAGTATTAAAGGATCTTGGGGTGTTATTACATCTAAAAAAATTTCCATTGTTTTTTTATCGAAACAGAGTTTTTTGCGTGTTTCTGATAAACAAGACATATTTGCAACAATACCAACTAATATTTCAGTTAACCTTTCATTTGTTTCATTTTGAATAATATTAGCAATAAGTTCCAAACTATTATGTTCCAATAACAATAAAACTACATCTCGTTCAATGGTCATATCCCATAAAGTACATAGTTTTTTTCCAGAGATTCGTTAAATCTGTGTATTTAGTTAATTGTATTAAAGTAGACAATACAAAACGTTCACTATATAAAGTATCTCCTATAGCATCACCTTTCATAATTGCAATTTCCTCAGCTTGAAGTTCTGATGACAAAGAAGGGTTGCAAGTATTAAGTTCATTATCACAGTTATCACTTGGATTTTTGTCTGAACTCAGAGTACTTGGATCATTTGAATCAGCCATTTTCACAAGATAGATTTGATTATTTTCACAAATAAAAAAATTCAATAATAATATAATAAACAGTATTTTTATAGGAATTATCTCCATGAGTTTTTTTTAATTTGTTATTATTTTACAGTTTAGTGTGTAAGATTTTTCACAATCATATATTATAATGCTACCGTTATGACTGCTTTCCTATTTTCATTTATAATTCAATTTAAAATAATAAAATTACAATAATTCTTAAATATTTGGCTACAACTACAGCACAAACGTCAATTGTCGAAATGTCAATATCAGTTATGATTATGAGTTAGTTCCTGTACGATCCCTGAGCGCTAGTGTGCGATGTTTTTAAATTGGAAATAATAATATAGAGAATGATATGAAATGGATATGAATAAATATATCCATATAATATTTCCAATCTTATTTGAATTGTAATTTAACTGTTGCATCATTAAACAAACCATTCTCTAGAAAAGATTACTCTTCTTTTATCTAGTACATAACTCTCTTAAAATCATGTGATTTTTATGTCAACTCTTTAAATCGATTATCATTGAATCCTAGACAATATAATAATCTAATATATATATTCTATCTTCAACTTATGCTTAACTTCTTCATGATTAATTAATTTGTATAAAACAATTTCATTGTTAATTTAGTTAATTTTAATTTATATTTTTCTCATGTATAATTTCTACATTCACATTCGATTAGAACAATTTTAATACATTTTATGATAATCTCTGATTGGAATTATCTTCATTCCTCGTGGCTAATATTAATATACCCAACTACTACTTATATTATATTTAATAATATATCATAATATTAAAAGCATAACTAAAAGTTGCACTTAATAGAATAGGTATGCATATATATATGCATTTGTGTAAATGAGTTAAGTTATTCAAATATTTTGAATTACCAGAGCGCTGCAATTGTATTGTATTTATATGTGTTCTTATAAAAACATCATAAATGCATATAGATCATTAAAGTGTACATTAATTATAGACGACCTCTAACATTACTTTGAATTTCATATAATATTAAATATTTTCTCCTGTAATAATTTTGGTACACATAATCTGTCAGCAATTAAGCCATGCTCTATTAAAAAGCTTTCAACATCTGAAGCAGGAAACTCATCACCTAAATCATCAGAAATTCTGACAAAATTTCCCATAAGCTGACCATCTTTATAAACTAAAATAGCAGGAACACCTTGAATTTTAAATGATCTACTCAAACCGCGATAGATCCTATTATTTTACAAAATTTTATATTGTTGTATTCTATTGCTAAAGTGTCTAAACATTTATTCATAGTCTGGCATGCCTAACATTATTTTCATAAATATGAATAATTATAGTAACCATTTTATTTTCATTATCAATAGCATTTAAAAAGTCATCTTGGGATTGCAATGATTGAACTTGACCAAATGTTAGCATATTGCTGTTTTGTTTCAGCATTTCTTTCATTCTCTGTTTCTGAAACTCGAGAATGAAATCATCATTCATCAAGTCTTCCAGTTCATCATCTAACTCCTTGTGCTTTTCCTCTTCTGCAGCTGTTTTACATGTGATACTCAAAGATTGATTAAGTTTAAACGCTCTTGCTCTTGATGAGCTCTCTGCTCAGTTTCCAATTGCTTAAACCTTTGCCAGTTTTTATAACTCCTTTTGGTCCAGTGTTAGCGCTCTGGCCAGTCCATTTTGTTGGATCTTCTAATGTCAAACCTTGGTATTCTCCACATTTGTTTGTTCTGATTGCTCTTTAACGTTTTCACTATCAGAATCACATTCACCTTCATCTTCGCTGCTGCTACAATAATTATGAAGCTTATTTCCTAATATTTTGTCTTCTAGAGTTCCCATCTTATTAAAATTAAGAGAAATAAATTGCCAATTAAAGCAAATTGGCGAATAGAAATGACAATAATGTCTGCTCTGATCGCATTCGTAAAATTTATCTGCAACCTGATTAAATAAATACTTTCTGCTAGAAGAACATTGTTTACAACAAAAGTACACGAAAACTTTTTGACTATAGATTTGACAGATGTGAAAGAAGCAGTCTTACATGACAGAAACCACGAAAAAGAGATACAACGGGACAAGATACTCACGGAGTCTCAGCCATGTGACACATGATATAATTTTCCTCATCCAACAGTCGGGTAGGATCGGAAAAACTAAATTCGCTGTTCATAATTGAATTGACTGCATTTTTCCAATTGATAACAATTGCGATCATATTACAATCTTGTTGAACTACATGCAAAAATCGTAAAATTTGCTCTCATATCGAGTTGGGCAAAGGTCTACCCTCTATTAGTCTTTGGTGTTATCCAACGAATGTAGGTTGACGTTGTGATAAAAGAAAAATGTTCACGCTGTATTTTTGACTTTTGTCTGCATCAAATAAGCACTTTTGTGTCTCTGCTTCTCAAAAATGTATATGAAAAACATATTTTTTAAGTGCCCTTCGTTAATGTTTTTCAATTGCACATTATAAAACTATTTAGTAACATAATTATTGTACATTCCTTAATACAAAAATTTGCATTTTGCCGGCATATGCATTTAAGTTAAAGGCGTAGTCCCAAGATACACAATGAATGTTGTTTTTATGAAATCATGACATTTAAAATACTGTACAAAATAAATAGATGTGCTACATATTTCATCAATTCTCATCAACTTCATTTTAAACATGTTAAAGTAGTATCTTAATCTTCAGAGCCAGGATTACCCAATGTTCACTGTTTACTTTTTTTGAAAAGTTTTTGTTTTGTTTAGTTTTTGATATAGTGAAATAAAAAAATGGGAACTGCACACAGCTGTTGTTCACATACAACACCTCCTGCTTCCAGAAAAACAAGACTGCATGGAACAATTAGTGCAAACAATGTTGAAGAACATAATTCTACTGAGCATGAAGTGAGTGTTTCAAATTTACCTCACATAAGTGAGCGAGAAGCTGATGGAGGCGATATGGACCCTAGCGTTCATCCATCAGCCCAAACATTATTTATGGAACGTTCTCAACAATTTGTTGAAAATGGTATTACAAGGAAAAAGAGTCAACAGCAAATATCAGAATTGAAAAAGTCTACATCAGATTTGAGAGTATTAAAAAAGAGTAGCTCGTGCTCCACAATATATCTTGATGATAGCACTGTTACACAACCAAATTTAAAGAACACTGTGAAGTGTGTTGCGCTTGCTATTTATTATCACATCAAAAACCGTACTAGTGATAGATCATTAGATATTTTTGACGAAAAGTTGCATCCTTTAACAAAAGACCCAGTATGTGATAATTATGATAAACAAAATCCTGAACATAGGCAAATTTATAAATTTGTCAGAACAATGTTCAATGCTGCACAGCTCACTGCGGAATGTGCAATCATAACATTGATTTATTAGAAGAGTTGTTGACTTATGTAGAACTTGATGTTTCTGCTGCAAATTGGAAAAGAATTGTATTGGGTGCTATTTTGCTAGCCAGCAAGGTCATGGATGATCAGGCTATATGGAATATTGATTATTGTCAAATCTTGAAAGATTTAACCATAGAAGATATGAATGAACTTGAAAGGCAATTTTTAGAAATGCTACAGTTCAATATTAATGTTCCATCAAGTGTTTATGCCAAATATTACTTTGATTTAAGAACATTAGCAGAAGCGAATGATCTCTCATTTCCTAGTGAACCTCTTAGCAAGGATCGAGCTCAAAAACTTGAAGCCATGTCTTTGGTAATGCAAGATAAAATTACACAAGAAATGTTAACAAACGGACTCAAAAAGTGGTCAAGTCTCGATAATATGAACAATCCTGGAGGCCATCGCAAAAGTGTGGCAATCTTGTCATAATTTTCTATTAAGTATTTTTATACTATTATGCACATAATTACTTACAATTAAAACTATTTTGATAAAGAATTTGCAAATGATGTGTATGTAATTATTCCGCATTCTTATGCAATATCCCTTTGCAACATGCTACTGTAAGACATTTGATATAAAAAATTATATATTGTATAAAATTTACAACTTGTTAGTCAATTACGCCAAGAATTTATAGCATATATAACTCCTCATGGTATTCCTATGAATCTATAACAATATATTTAGTATTAGATTATGATCAAATGATTTATTTAAGGAAAGTCTGAAATATTTATAAATTGTAATTTTTGCAATAAATATTAGTCATGGTAACAACTTTTTCTATATTTTTTTAAGTTTGTTATATATTTCAACACCATAGATATTTTTCAAATTATGTTTTCAAAGTGTCCCCAGTTTATAGAAAGAAATTTGATCTTTTTGTTTGCATGTCCATAGCATTCAGGAGTATAATAATTATACATAGTAATTTGTTTGATAAGTAATAAATAGAATTCAAAAATGTATCAAACTTACCTGGGTGATTAATGATTATTACTTAATTAATGGTTAGTATTATCCAAATTTCACTACACCTTCCACAAGCTTCTGGGGTCTCACTGTCCGTAATGAGCCATGGTGAGATATAACACAGGATTATTTACTTTTTGTTATTTATCCATATTGGTTTCATAATTTAATAATTTTGAATATCAACTGCACTTCCAGTAAATTTCCTAGTTCGCTAATAATTATTAGCTGCACATTATATTAAATATAGTTTTCATAAATACTACTTTTGATTAAAGAACATCTTAAATTCAAATATGACCTTGAATCTTTACTTCAAAAACACTGCTATTTTATATATTCTATAAATTTTTGCATCATATTAAAATTTAGAATTGCATTATTAAATTTACATCCATATTATCTGAATCTTGAAAATTAGTTAGTTCTAAAATTATAATAAATTTGGTTAACAGTATATTAATTTACAATCATGTATAAGCTATATATATATTTCTATATACAATTAAATAATATTCATATTACAATTTTTATTTAAATATTAGGTTTTGAATCCAGGAGATGATCCGTAAGAAAATTTGTGAGGGGTTTTATTTTTTTTAGTGCTTGAGACACTGTCATTAAATGATTGATCTAGTAGAAAGTCATCTTCCTCCATAGGCAAACCTGAGCGCTTATAATCAATGCTATTTGTTGAAAGTGAAGACTCATATTTTAAATATATATCCTCTACTATCAAACCCGACCTGCAAACATATATCAATATATAAAAAAAATGTATATATATATAGATTAAATGTCAAAATTTATGCTTAAATAATGAAAATTATAAATCACTTAATACTCATTATTTTATAATTGAATGGATGCCTGGAAAACTTTATATTATATATCTTTCACCACTCATTCATATTTGAATCAATATTTACTTAACGCACCTGCTCAAAATATAAGGATCAAATGGAAAAAATGTATCCAGACTTTCATGTGCTCTTACAATTTGTTCACCATACATTACTGCCATATTATTTCGTTCATTGCGTTCCATTATTGTGTAACAATACCACCAATTGCTCTGCTCGTGTAACAGCAGCAAAATTTTGGGCAACAATAGGAAGGCAATATTAATGGATTTAATGGACATGTTACTAATTTAGTTAAATTTAATGATTGAAGAAATATTAAATCTGAAATAAATATAAATGTAAATTTGATACCAACTAAAATCAACTAACAAAATCATACTTTTCTTTGTATTTGTTAAATCTTTATGTCGAAATGCAATAACATAAAATAGTGCCTGCGCTACTGTATAAAAGACTCCATGAGCTGATGCCCCGCCTTTACGTGATGAACCATGTGTATCAACAATAGAATCTTGCCGCTTCACATAAAATTGTAACCAAGCCGACATTTCAAAAAGCATGGCTCGGATCATTCTTAAAAAAAATTAATAGATACAATAATCAAGAAAAATAAGGAAAATTAAAATAGTAATATAAATTAACCTTACAGGGTTTAAATACTTACGAAATTGGTATAAACTTTGCTCTTGCAAGTAAACTTGCGATATAACAAATGGAAACTTGTCGTTGCACTATAGCAACATTTGGATTTGAAACCTTTTTCCACAAAAAATTAAGAAAAGCCTCTGCAAATACCAGCTAAAAAAATAAAATAACTTAGCAAAATGATGATCAAATTACTCATGTACATATAATAATTTTGCACTGTAATTTATAATCACTAATAAAGAAGTGAAATTAAATGCTTTTGAATAAAGTGTCTTCATTGGCAGTTTTGAGTTCAAAACAAGCAATAATTAACTTTTAAACAATGGATTAAAACATAGTACATATATAGATTTGGCTATATATACATACATGTGCAGGTATAATAAATATGTGTATTGCTATTACCTTAAAACTACATATATAAAACATTATAAATTGCACATGATGCACAGCATGAGTAGGTAATATGATATCCTCAAATATTTGAATAACGTCTTTATATAGTTTTTCTGTTTTCTTATAATTGAGTTCATCATTTTCATAACATTCATTCTTAATAAATTCAAATAGTTGTAACATACAACAGTCAAGAGTATTTGCAATGGGATGCTTCATTTGAAAATTATCGTTATCTGCAGTGTCCATATCATATTGTGTTTCATCTCCATCCTCAACTATATCACATTCTTCTATATCGGATTTAGGGGCATGTACATCCAGAATAATCAATCTAAATATGGACACATATTTGAAAACATTCAACACAAGAATTCCAAAAATATTTAAATATATTACCTGTTAATTACTAATACAAGAATTTCTGAACGCAAGCGTGGCTTATATTTTAAAACTGACAATAAATTAAATAAGTATGATTCATTTTCTTCACAACTCTTCTTATAGTAAGGATATGATGATGCTACTGCTTGCATGAAAATATTACATGATCTAAAATATTGTTTTACAATTGGTAAAATTTAGTCAGAAAATATAAATGCTTCAACAAAGTTATTACTTACATTGGAATAATTGTGAAAATTTTCTCCAAAACATGATGTATTGATGAAAACACTTTCCAACCTACTTCTGTTGGTTTTCCATTTAACCAGCACCCATCTTGAAAAATAAAATAAAAAAAAACTATAAAGTATTTTTTTTAATTTCATTGCATTAGTATGTTTTATATTAGTTAAGTTTTATTCCATTACAACATATTAAATCTGTGTAAACTCTAAAACATGAAGTTAAAAAAAAGTTCATAATGAGGTTTAATACAATATGTTGTTAAAGAAATGAGATTGCAAGAACAATATTGAAAGTTGGTTCATAATACATTGACTGTTAATATTATTTTATTTAATTTTCACGGATATTGTAAAGTTCTAAGATAACACATTTTTGAAAATAATTAATTATTAATTTATGTATTAATCCATAAAATCCATTTAAATATTTCATATCTATATTAACAAAGTAATATATGAAGAAACCCGTGGTTTCTACAAAAACAGTATGTAAGTTGGAAATATTGCAAAGAAACTAAAAATATTAATGATGTAAAAATTTAGTTAAAAAAGCTTACCAAAATAGAAAAACCTAACTAACTTTTCTAATGCTAAGGGAACATGATAATTGTGTGCCGTTAATAATTCTAATAGAAAAGTCTGGTATGTATTCACTATATGGTTTGACTGCAAAGGCCAATTAACTTTTAAAATTCCCTCCACATAAGATCTTGCATCACGTCCTAATAATGATATACACTCTCTACTTGCCTCAATGAAAGAAAATAAGTTTTCATCCTAAAATTTGAAAAAAAAGTTATTTAATTATTCCTCCAAATAGCACCTTTAATTATTCATTACTTTCAAGTCAGAATCTCGAAGTGCACACAAAATTTCCTCATATTGCTTTACATTGTCACCTTTCAATACACCTTCTAACACGGTTTTAATATCACTAGAGTTAGGAAGTTGAAATCTAACTCTATTTGCAGTCTGAACTAAAAGGCTATTTCTAGTATGTGCAGGATTCTTTAATATAGAAGAAATATTGCTTTGTCCAGATATAATAGACATTTTAGGTTATGAACATATACATATATTTATAACAACGATCTGTAACTGTAACTCCATGAAAATCCAACATATGAGTCGTATTTGATGATAGCAATATCTTTTAACACACGCTGCGTTTAAAAACAACGCAACTAATGAAAAAAACACTATTTTAAGTTAACCACTAACCACGTTTTATACTGCAAAAATTGTGCGAGGTGAAATTGATGAACGTCACAATTTACAAATATATGCAGCGCTACCTGCGAATTAACGCGTGCAACTTAAATGGCCGTTGATTTTTTTGTGATCCGTTATTGTAGTGGCTCTATGTTTCAATCCTGCCGTTACGTTACTTTTATCTATGGACATAAGGGATATTGGCTATGTGCGAAGGCATGGAAGGGGAAGTCAAATCGACCGAAGCGTTCGTAGTGGCTAACTTGGAGCACTAAAAGGGGCTATTATAAATAAAATTTTAAACAAAAACACATAAAATATTTATTATTTTCAAATTTAAATAAGATAATTAAAAAATGAGCCACCATAGCTTTCTGTATGGGCTGTAGAATACCAGAGAAAAAGTGACTGCAAATTCTATACTTTTCTACAGCTAAGTGGAAGAAAATCAACGGGAAAAGTGGATCGCAGCGGTTAGAAGAATAAAGTAAGTATCATAACCTTATTGTTATAAAATACAATTCGAGTATTATGAATATTGTAAAATTGTTATTTAGCAAAAAGAAAAATTATAAGTCAATAATTGTTGTATTATCAAAATTTAATGCTCACTAAAAAAATTGTTTGTAAAACAATGTAATTAATACAAGCCTGAATAATGAAAATAACATATTTATATATGTATATTGATTATGTATAACTATTATCTATATATTTTACATTTTATTATATAATAATTGTAATTTTATGATTAAAAAATAAAAGTTATCACATAGCGAAAAAATGTTTATTTTGCAAACAGTTTAATTAATACAATGCTGAAATAATGCGAAATATATATTTGTAGTGTTGATGGATCACCGTGGGTTCCCAAGCCCTATGATCGCATTTGCAGTGAATCGGTCGAGGTATTGAGTCCTACCTACTTGTCAACAATATTTCCTTCAATAAGTTAATAATTTGTCTTTATAAAATGTCCTAAATTTTGTCTTTATAATAATGTCTAAGTCTTTAGTTTGACCAAAAAATTGAATAAATTAATTTACTATTTACTTATTCTATTGATAAATTTATTTATCATTATTATATTGTTTTTATTAAGAACTATTCCGAGTTTATGACATAAGCTTTGAGGCACTTAACCTTACAATATTACTTTACTGCATTTCTTTATTATTACATTATACTTAACAATGTTTTAAGTACGTTGAAGTAAATTTAATAATTTCAATAAACATTCAGCGTTCACATTATTACTGTATCTTGTTTATTATTATTTATAACAATTATTTAATATCTTTTTTCTTTAACAAACATGTAAAACCCATGAAAACCACACACTGATAACCCCAATTAGTTCATATTTATTACGGCGCTGCATGGGCGCTGCAGTCACGCTCGGAGCGAATAAAATATAAAAAGAAAAGAAGAGTATATAGTTCGCTCACTGTGGCTATAAAACGTATGCTAATTTTTCTATGATCCCTTTCTTTTATCTACTTGCTCAAATAGAAAAAAATAGATAAGTATACGCTCATAGATAAAAAAGATGCCACATGAAGAGACCCAGGCTCTAATGGCAAACCTCTTATGACTCTATTAAATATTTCCCAACAGATGGCAGGTACAACACTGTCTGACATTTTAACATGTCAAAATTGCCAACGAAAATAGATGTCAATTTATGTAAGATTCAACAATGTTAAAAAATGTGTATATAATGCCAAATTATTTATTTTTAGTGAATTATTAACACTATGCATTTGCAATTATTTCTTTTAAATCTTTTAACAATGATTTAGTGCTTCTAAATTTAATATAATGGTGAACTTGGTGAAATAAGTGTGTGCAGAACAATATCAAAACCGGCAAGATGGTCGACTCTATTGCAGATAGGGTTCCGGACCATGTCTTAGAAGTGATATTTTCATATTTAGATTTGCACGAACTAAGAAATTGTTCATTGGTGTGTAAAAATTGGTACAGATTTTTGAATGATGAAAACAATGACGTATGGAGAATGCACTGTATTAGTAAGCTTGCAGAAGAAGCATTGAAATCTGATTTGTTATCTTCTCTCCCTACTTATAAATCAAAATTACGAGCTTTTTATCATGCATGGAATCCTAATGACTGTTCAAGAAATGTCTACATAAAGCCCAATGGATTTACATTACATAGGTAATATAATTTTTTTTTTTTTGATAAGGGCGATGAATCTTAGATTCCATTTTTTCAAATAATAATAAAATAAATGCAACGTTCTAGAAATCCGGTTGCTCAAAGCACAGATGCATCCCGAGGTAAAATAGGTTTTCGTCATGGTAGACATACTTGGGAAGTCATATGGGAAGGCCCACTTGGAACTGTAGCTGTTATTGGAATTGCAACGAAAGATGCTTCGCTGCAATGCCATGGATATGTTGCTTTGTTGGGATCAGATGATCAAAGTTGGGGTTGGAATTTAGTAGACAATCATTTGCTTCATAATGGTGATGCGCAAGGAAATTATCCATTATTAAATAATGCACCGAAATATCAAGTAAGTGGATATTCCTATGATAAATGTACTTGTAAATTTAATTGTTTAATAGCAATATAATTGGCAATTAAATTTATTTAAATTTCAGGTTGGTGAACGAATACGAGTTATACTAGACTGTGATGATAACACATTATCCTTTGAGAAAAATTATGAATTTTTAGGTGTTGCATTTCGAGGTGAGAATTATTTTGTCATTCATTTTGAAAGCTATATAGTTACAATTTCCAATCAATTTGTTTGTGATAAATTAAGTATAAATTTCAGAAAATGAAATCTTTATGTGAATAAAAATCATTGCATTAGTGGAAATAACCCATGTTTCTTCAATGTAAATTAATAATAATTTTGATTATTTATTTGATTCAATTTCTTTGAATAGAAGAGTTCAAGCAGAGTACTAATAACCTGATTTAATAGTCTGCATCTATACGCACCTAGTTTCACATAGACATTTAATTTACAAGCAGTTAATAATTGCTCACCTGACATCCTCCAATCACCATTATAACCACGAACTCATAAAATATACTAATTTTATTTCAGCCTGTAATATGATTGTAATATTATTGACATATTGTGATTGATTTTATTAGGTTTGCCAGAGAAAAAACTGTATCCAACTGTTTCAGCTGTATACGGGAATACTGAAGTGTCTATGATATATCTAGGTCCTCCATTAGATGGCTAACATGCACTTTTTAGACCTGTTGCAGGTCAATTCTGGAGAGAGATAAAGATCTGTACTTATAAATTACTGTTTTTTAAAATTTCTAATCCATATTGTATGAAAAATGTCTTAAAAGAAAGCTATATAGATATTGTTTCAGCAACAAAACACCTAAAAAAGTGAGGAAATTAGGAAGACGTAAAAGTTCATTTAATAGATTTCTAATACAAAATGTAATCTCAATTTATTCAGTTTTTTTTTTAAATTGAACTTTAGATGTTAATATTATTGTTATAGAAAATATAGCAATAACAGATTCATAAATATATTTAATATTGTTGACAAATATGAAATCCATAAACAAAGAATCAGAAAGGAGTTTTTTTTTATTATTTGGAATTGTGTCATATCTGAATGTTATGTAAACTAAATACAGATATATTTTTTCACGTTGTTTATAAATAAGTGCAAGAGTGGTGTTAATATTATGGAAAACATTAGAACTAAAGCAAAATCATTGAAGATAACATCTAACATTTTGCTGATTTTTACACTGTACTTCGTAATTAAATTTGACAATAACAAAATGGAAATAATAGAAAATATTGAGTTTTTAATATTTTCAATTTTTTCTTTCATTCATTTATGATCAACGACAATTTTAAAGTCATTTGCACATGCACAATATTCGAACAAATTTGCTTTTTTCTTCCAAAAAATATGAAAATGTTATATGTATCTCGAATCTCACTTTAATGTGTAAATGCATTTAGTCATCTTAGAAGTCATCAATTAGCACATAATAGTCGAGTACCTAAACTAGTTTTTAACTATTTTTAACTTTTATATACATTATTGTAATTATGTTATCTTTCATGTGGAAGTAGTTCTTATTACTAAAACAATTATGTAAGCTATATTTGCAGTAATACACTACAAATGTAGCTGTATTTTAATCATTATATAATGTTGAAACAAAAATACAAGGAAAACTTTTGAATCTACTTATAAAATAAGCTCAATAAATTTATTTTAGAGTAATGGGCAAACTTAAGTATTTTATTCTAGGAGCTAAGTTGCAATTGTATGTTTACAATTTTGACTAGAAATTTCAATCATTATTTTAGAATTTATTAATTTTAATTTAATATTAGTTTTATTTATTTTTTTACTGCAAAAATATGTTTAAATATGTTTCCAAATTTGTGATGTAAATACTGTAAATACATATCTAACAACAAAATTTTGTTTATTTGGTAATCAACAATTTTTGGTTCCTCTAATCTTTAAGAAATGCTCAATTGCTCATTCATTTACACTCTTCAGCAACTGAAAAGCCCCCAATGTGATTTAATAAAGTAGTATAACAGGCAGCATTCACATAAATTTTATATTTCAATCATATATATGATCTTGCTTATCATGCTACATAATAAATAGCTATATATTATTATATTTTGATTATTTATGAAAAAAAGTTTCAATAATAAGTTTTTCCAATATGCACTTCACTTCAATTGAAATAATATGAAAATAAATTATTAATATTTATCATTTTAATTCTTAAGTAATAATTTTTTAACATTTAAATAATACAGCACTCAAATCGGAAAATAATGTATGATATCTTACAACAAAACTACTATAAATAAAAAAAGATTTTTAATATTTATAAAACTGACTTTTATCAAAATTTAAAGTTTTTCTACCAAACAGAATTTTAAAACAGCCCAGTAATACATCATTATTTATTGAATTTATCATTTCTTTAAAGACTTGCATTATTAATTGATCAGCACAAACGTAAATATGAGAGTTCTTCCTTATTATTGAAATGTTATAGAATATTATTATTTTGTTAGTAATATCACTAATACTTTGACTAGAATATCGATATCAATTACTCCTACAGACTTTCCGCCCCCACACGAAATTTTGAATGCTAACTTCTAATTTTCAGCATCAAATCAATAAAATAAAACTACAATGTAATTGCAATGAATGATATCAATGTGCAGAAGACTAGATTAGACTACTTATAATTAATCATAAAAAATGTGGATTTTAAATTCCTCAATAAAATTTGAACTTATCACTTGAATTGTTGAAATGTTTGCTTAGTAAGAATCTTATTAGTATTTAATATGAATATATGAATCTTGTAAGTAGTATGAGAATTTTTATATAACGGCAGGGAACCCAAAATATTAATTGTTTTAACACGTTTTCCATCGTAATATATCAAAAAGCTAGAAGTAATCTACATGTATAAGTGGCAAGTTGTATGAAATTCCCGAAGTTTCAAATAATCAACTTAATGTTGTAAGTGTTTATAAGCATACCGAGTTGATAAAAAGCCTTATAATCTGAGATACTATTCCATATTATACAATTTAGTTATTTATTATTTTCGTCAAATGATTTAAATATTATACATTATTGAAAAACGAACAAGCAAAAGGTCAAATGTTGAATGATTTTCAGGCCCAAAAAGCGCAGCTCATTTTTTCAAATTTTGATGAATTTTTAACATCAACCACTTATAGTAGAGCCATAATTTTTAATATGTTTAATATTTAAATAAGCTTCATAAAAAACATCGATTTTTTTTAACAGTTAATTACGAAGAAACTGCCCAGCCAATGTTTACCAAAAATTAATCAGCACTATTCCCAAACTGATTCTAGAACAAAAGTGGGACGAGATATTTTTGTCATAATAAATATAATTATTAAAATAAAAACCTAATTGAAAAAACAGAACGGCATAACATTATTAAAAAAGAACAAAATAAAGATTCATATGATGTATACAACAATTGAAAGAAAACATGCGTATATTTATCAATATTTTATATTCAACTAGTTGAGGGTTAAGTGTGACTATAATTTATAAATTACAACTTTAAGTGAAGTTGAGATCAGGTTCTGAAATATATATTATTGACAGTTCACATAATGGGCAAGATAGATAATAACAAATCAGTTTATCAAAACTGAACAAGAAATTCAAATTGTTAACTGCTAAGAAATATTTTTTTCCATTATATAATAAATATACCATTATATAAAAAATATAATATACATGATCATAAAAATCCATCTTTATTTTTACACAGTTTTTTTTATTCATTAAAAAAACTGATAGCTTGTAAATATTATTTTACATTCCATTCTTGTCCGAGTACAAACAAAAGTACTGTTTATGTCCTTGAACAGAATCTAGTTAGAATAGAACACAGTCAATGGTAATATTCTTAAGTGCTCCATAGAAAAGGCTCATTACCTCTTCATAATTATTAATTATATAGTTATATTATATAATTTTATAAATAATGAGTTTTTAATGTTAATAATTTAAAACATTTAAAAAAAATAATAAAGTTGTAAACCAAATTTACTAGATATGCCTCAAAAATTCATTCTAAATTTACACTGTGTAAAAATATTTGGATGATTCATATATTTATTATATAAGACAAGCAGAAAAAAAATTGATGGCACTATGAACATTATTTAACTTTTTTCATTGAAAGTTTATTCACTATCATACCAAAAATTGTTCGAAATTAATTTAAATGAAGTCAGCATTCTAAATTAAATATCAATCGAAGCTAATTTTACATCAAAAAATTATATCAGTAAAGTTTAAAGAAGTTTTACCAGTCATTTTTATATGCCTCATGTATATGAGGAAAACTATGATATAGATGCAAATAAATAAGAAGCTTTCGTATACTCGATAATAAGTCTACTGTACAGACTTATTTTTTCATGCTCATTGAGTTCAGAGTGAAATTCTTAAACTTGCTATTGAGTTAAGCTCTAGCATGAAATGTATTTATGAAAAGATATCACTTGAAAACAGTCTTTGGTCTTCATTATACATGATCTTTGGTAAATAGCATCTGAACAGAATATGTTAATTCGAATATATAATTAAAATTACAAAACTAAATAATATACATATTCCATGTCATTGATAGCAATGAGTACCTTGAAAAATTTAAAATTTAAATGTTATCGTATATATAAATATATGCATATACACATATAAATACATTTACATGTGAGCTTTATATGCACCGGTTTTCATAGTGAAAACATATTTGGAATGCAATTTCGAATCTAAACTAAGCTAGGATTATTTTTGTAAATATTGTTAGTAAGTAGCCATGCATTGCAACTTTCTAACCAATAAAGTGTCTAACTATTATAATGAGATCGAGAATTATCAATTGTTCCTATTTGTTAAAATTAATTCTAACTAAGTATGTTAATATAGAAATGAATTACCACAACCAATTACCAGTCATTTAATCTATATGTGTTTTACCATTTCTTTGATTTATATTATCTGTCTTACAGACACATATATTGTCACCTTGTCCAATTTCCTTGAAAGTTGATATTGTCAGGTCATTTTCCAACTTTGGCTTTACTTTGGTATAACTAAATTTTGTAAGTAAATAATTTGCACTAATGTAAAATAGTTTACACAATAATGGACATAAAAGAGCTTGGTGGGCAGATGCAATCAAACGATAATATGGACCTTGAAATGGATCTAATATTGCTGGACATAGCATATGGTTCAAATTAACTTGTGTTGGCTATAAAAAAGAAATAACAATGGATTATAAATGATAGCAATAACATTACTATTTTTTATATGAATACTTACTATTGCAAAACCTTGTAATATTACAAAGTGATATATTAAGATTAAACCATATGATAAACAATTCCAACTTAAATCACGTAGGGGTTCCATATTATAAACACCTACAAATAAATCAAATTTTATATTATTTACATACAAGTATTACCAAAAATCTGTTGGGTGCTATAATTTCCAATAGTTTCCACATTTTCAATAGCACTCAATTATTAATTTATCTTTTAACTAAATCATAATATGTTGAATAATTTACTTGTTGATTTCATTTAGAATAAGACTATTTAATTTGCTTATAATAAATTAACCATTATTCGTAAATTTTTAATAATATGTAGAACATACCTCCAAGTCTCAGGAGGTAATAAGGCACTACTAACATTAAAAAATGTTGAATCCAATAAATTGCTGCTTCCATTGGAATCTGAGAATTAATTAAATTATTATTTGCCGATATATTATAAATATATTAAAACACTGTTGTCATTACCATTCTACTTTCGGTCTCTGGGAAAATAAATGCCAAAAGAGGTCCATTCATATAATTTAAATGAATTCTAAATAATGCTGTAACTTTATTAGAAGGTGGAGCTGCTAATAAATAAATCTAAAATAAATAAATATCATTTAGTTGAAACCAACATGTAACATAACAATTTGTAAAAATCACCGGAGATTAAAAAACTTGCAGCATCAAGTATAATAAATTCTTGCAGCAGTGCAATTTATTTCAGTATTATGTAAGTTTATTTTGTTTACTGTTATATAACTATGTAAAAGTAATAAATAAGTAACTATAACTGATGCAATAACGTTCTCCACTTTAATAAGCTTGCTCGCAATATAATTTGTCAAATATCTTACTTGAATAGCAGTTGTCACATGGCAGGGGTTAAGAATATATATCACAGTTTTTGAAGCAAATTTGAATCCAATTTCCATACCCCAAATGAGGGACATTATAATAAGTAGCAAGCGTTTTCCTCCACGTTCAGTTCGAACATATTGTGTTGGTTGCGATGGTGACAAGTTTAAATAACCCCAAATGATTAGAACTAAGGAAAATATTAAGACTATTACGGTTTCCTTCTGACGCCATTCTGATGATAAATAATAGGCACATTCTGGTCCAGTATTACGAGGTATTTTCGGATTTACTCCACTGTAGGCCCAATCAAACCCACCCATTATTGCTAAAAATGGTCAGTTAGGTTATACAACTTGCACAATTGCACTGATACAAATGAATGTGCGTGGATACGTGTGTTTATAAATAATTAATGTGCTTTTGTACATATCATTATGTGCAAGGTCTTACATTTTAGTAATATTATTCCAATAATTTAAACGTCAAAACTTGAAGCTAAAGCAAACTAGTATCAGACACACAGATTTAGATTGCATAAACATAAGCATAACTGCATTTCAAATGCAATATCGTTCAAATTTCAGCATTCACTTTTGTCTCAGACATAAATTTATGAAGTCGAAGCAGTAACCAATATGCCATTCGGCTTTTATTTACGTTTGTTTGCTACCATGGTACAGTGTTGCCATTACATAAAATATTTATTTATTAATCTAATAAGAATCCATGATAAAGGGTTGTGAACATAGATAAAAAACACGGATGGATTAACAAAATTTGCAGTTACTATTTAGATAATTAGATGGAGCTGCTAAAAAATCGTGTCTTAAGGCAAATTGCTGGAACTTACCGTACCGTAACGAAATGTTCGAGGAATACTGAATGTTTTCAAATAGATTTTTATAAATATTGTAACATTGGCTAATATTTATAAGAATTATATAAACTGAATTGCAAAGTTGAAATTATTTGTTTAAAATATATTAGAACCATAGTCAGAATTAAAAATAAAATCTGAATGATTTTCGATATACAAAAAAAAATTTTTTTTGAAAAAAAAAAATCAATTATTTTGTTAAGACAAGCTGAAAGTTCTTTGAATCATTTAAATTGGACGCTTAGTCCTCTCAAAAACTGCAATTTTTTACATATTTAGCTCCGTATCTTCGAAATGGCTGCCTTTGCCAAAAACTAATAAACACTTCTCCTAATCATTACTAATTGAATGTTTTTTAGATCATTCAAATCGGATACTGCGTTCTCTCAAAAACTCGATTTATATTTTCTGCACTCTTTGCTCCGTATCTCCAAAACGGCTGGACCTGCCTTTGCCACAAACTAATCAGCTCTTCTCCCTATCAATAGGAATCGAATTTTTTTGAACCATTCAAATCGGTTGATCCGTGCGCCCGAAAACGTGACTGGAAATTTGTATCCATACATACATACACACACACATCCATTTTTCTGAGGTATGCCAAAATGTTCAGAAATCTTCAAAACGTCGAGAAATGTAAAAATTTTCAATTTCGATTTTCGGCCCATTACAATAACTTACCCTACGGGAAGTTAACTAGTAGTGTAATGCTTCGTGCCTTAAGGCAAATTGATGGAACTTCCCGCAGCGCAACGAAATATTCGGGGAATATTAAATGTTTTCAAATAGATTATTATAAACACTGTAACAATGTCTAATATACTCATTTATAAGAATTATACTAACTGAATTATCAAGTCACAATTATTTATTTAAAGTATATAAGTGAGCTTTAGAACTTTATCCAAAATTAAAATTAAAATTTGTATTATTTCCAAAATCAAAAAAAAAAAAATTGAAACAGTTTTTTTTCCAAAAGCAATTATTTTGTTAAAACGGATACTTAGTTTTGCTATTTTTTGTACATTTAGCTTAGTTCTGCTATTTTTTGTCTAATTTAGAAGGTTGTGGATCATTCCTAACATTTATCATTTAAATGATACTTCCAAATTTGTAATAATGTTGAAGAATTCAGATATCAAATAAAATCTTTACTTCAAAATTTATCAATCAAGTTCCATTATAATCAGTACTATTTTTGACATTAATTACGATACATAATATGGAAAAATATATTTATCATTTGATTGTTTGAAAACAATTGTTTCTCTTAAACATATAAACATATGTTTGTTCGGATATTAATTGAAAAAAGCACATGTACTGCGTTGCCCTTTAGGTACTCGTTGATATAAAAATAACACAATAATTCATTATAAAATTATATATCAGTTAATAATCTTTAATTAGTACAGTTTAAATAAAATCTGCTTTTATATTGCTTCTATTACAAGATAAGTGCCCTGAATTAGATATCACATTGTCATTTAAACATTACTATATGTCCGCACAAAATAATGGAAATAATAATCAATGTAAAGAATTTAAACTACCAAATAATGCATCGTTGTTTGGGTACCATTGAACTTCCTGCTGGACATTTGAAAGCCTCGGCAAATTCTGGCATATTTGACACAGGCACATTGGCACGAAATCTGCTTGGGGAATGAATCATTTTTGGGTAGTAGGATTGAAAACTTTCTGTAGTTCTAGTTTCACACCAACCCTGAAAAATATTGTTTATTCAGAAAATTAATAATAAATAGTGGCCTTATAAAACAAATTTTATTTACTAAAAAACTTATTTTGAAGAGATTCCAAAAAAGCTTCAAATATATAACTGAATTGCAAAATTTTAAGAATATCAAATTGATGTATAAATTATCATATAATGGTACACTTACCGTGCCGTAGCTTATGAAAAACATTTGTTCAGCTGTATATAGTTTTTTCCCGACTTGATATTCAGTTCGATGGGATCTTGTAATTAATTTAAAAGCAATATAAGCTTCACGCAGTCCACCATTATCAGCAATATTTTCGTTCAAAGTTTGCGCTCCTGGAACCTAATTATACATAGTACCAAGTTATTACCACATTGAATGTATTTATTAGCAAATTTCACTGATTTGTCAAATTCATTTAAAAAGAGCAAGTATTATATTGAATAAAAAACACTCAGAAAGAAACACATTTTATCAAACCTACAGGTTTTCCTATTTCAGGTATGATTTTTTCGTTATATTGCTGGATAAAACATTCTGCACGTTTATTATATTCGGAAAGGGTATTGCCCATCCACCATTCTGTTAGCTGACCAGAACCATCTAAGTTCTTGCTGCTGTTATCAAATGCATGAGTTATCTCATGACCAATAACTGCACCGATTCGACTGTAATCCATTACTCTAGAAATAAAACACAAAAATTGTTAAAAGATTGGAGAAAAACAATATTTAATACCATAACACACAATGAAATCATAACACTGGAAGTGGAAATTTTTTATGATTTGGTTTCAACCTACCGCATTCCAGATGTAAAAAATGGCGGGTGCATTAGAGACATAGGAAACGCTGAAAATATATAATTATATATATTTTAAATATACTTATTATTGTTAGGTAAATACTGAATACGCATATCCACTTACTAACTCTATTATTGAATTTATTATAATAGGCATTTACAAGTAATGGCGATTGGCTCCATCTATAAAGAAATAATTAGTTTTTTATACGATTTGTTATTTATATGTTTTGTTATTTACAAGCAACTTACCTGTTTCTATCTCGAGGTTCATCCAGAATTATTAAATTAGTCTGAGGCTAAAAGCTCTCAATCTGTTCATATTTCCAAAATGATCATACCGGCAAATTCGTAAAGGTTTAAAATGTTCATCAAGATACAAATCACTATTTACTTCGTTTGGAAAACCCATTTGAACAAGCAACGAATCAGCCTTAATTTTTGCCAATTTCTTTGTTTCCGCATCCATCCAGTCATTTGAAATCATGAGCTCCAAGAAGGATTTTCGCAGTTCATAAACCATTGTAGAAGCCTTTAATAAACAATTATAGATATTAAAATTAAAAAAAATCTATATTCAAATTCATTAGGTGCAAGGGGCATTTTTTTCTTAAGACATAAAACATACGATATATGTAAATAATTTACTCTAACGATACAGAATGACATGAAACGTCGAAAAACAATTAGCAGGTCAGATTTTCTGGCAAAAACATAAACTTCCCCTAAGTGTTGCCTGCAAAAATAGAATACAAACTTATTGACTTACATGCTGTATTAAATGTTCTGGAACATGCCTTTTTCTGTATTCATAAGCTATAGCCCCACTCATGCCAATTGAAGGAAAATCAAGCACCTTTCTGAGGCAGGTCTTCCATCTGTATTTATAGTGATAAAAAGAGTTTTATTTTTCAAATCAATTTTGCATTGAAGAGTTTATGCATATACACGTATAGGCACGAATCCTTTGTAGAATAAACAGAAACTAATAAAATTTGTTTGAGAAAATAACAGGGCCCTCAAGTAATATAACCATTCACATCTTTACGGTATATTTATAATCTTTAGTAAATTAAAGTAATAAATAATATCTCAACAAAACTATACAATTGATAAGTCTGCTTCAACATTCAAATTTGTGTGTATAATATTTATTGAAAAGAAAAGCGCCACTGGATTTAAGCCATCAACTCTCCTGATAAAAATGGAAATAACTTGATCATTATTTATAAGAAATTATTCAATAAGTAAATAGTTAAAATTATATAATTATCAATAAAATATTATGAATTTTATATCGAATGGAAAAACAACTACTGAGTTGTTTTTTCCAACATGCCCTTGTAGTATAGCAATGTCCCTTTTCGGCCGACTATTGTAAATTCATCAAATTTATTGAATGTTCTTTACTGGACAGTTGTGAATAAAAGAGATAATAAAAAAAATATTATTTTCTATAGTTAATAATAAGGTGACCATACGTCCCGGTTTGGCCGGGACAGTTCCGAATTTCTATCCTTGTATCCAGGGTTTATCAAAGAGCCCAAAATTGGGCCCGAATTCAAATCTTTTGTCCTGGATTGTCCCAATTTTTACAACAATTAATGAAAACAAACAAACAAGTGCTATTTTTTTCAAATTCATTATGAAGAAAATAGACTAGAAGTGTAATACATATAATATAATAGCTTAGAAAAAAAGTATTTCTTAAAAATTCTTACTAAAATCCCGCAATTCTTGAATCTTTAAATAACATTAGTTATTTCAAAGACCCCTCTCCCCATATTTTATATTCCCGGATTTTAACATAAATAAAAATTGCCGTCCCGGTTTTGCCTTGAAAAAGTATGGTCACCTTAGTCAACAACCATATATCCATTTTCTCACCTGGGATAAGATAAATGCCCTTGTGTAGCATAAAATTTCTCTGCTGCACTTCTCATTGAGATATGAGTTTCTGGACCAAGGTACGTAAGCAATCTTAAGATAGCAAAATTGTTGATAATCCTCTCCGGAGTTTCATTAAATAATTGTATAATTTGTACAACCGAAGTAAAAAATGGCATATAAATCCGTGTCTTATCTGAAATTTTCACTTTGGTATGCGTAAATATGTGGCATAGATATTTTTTCCAGTTGAGCTGAAATATGAGGAATAAATAAGATTCAAATCAGTGCTTTTGGCAATAAATACTGAATAAAATTATGCGCTTTTTGCGAGTACAATTTTTTAATATAAATTTGTCAATCTGATATTTCATGTGGATTATGAAGTTAAAACTTCTTATAATTTTATTCATATCCATAATTTTATAAATATTTGCTGTAATGTATAGTCGTATCATGTTAGCATACAACAAGTATGAGCAAAAAATTAAGCTTTAAAATATTTATTTCTATCAGGTGAAAAATTTTATTAAAAAGAAACTTTCATTAAACAAGAATTGTTATTAATAATTGCTCATTCACTTTTATCAAGTTTATATTCACCTTTTTATCAGATGGAATATATTCTTGTGTCCATTTTTGCAATTCTTTTACAGTCATTGGAAGTATCGGTGTTGCACCTGGTTTTTTTAAAGGCAATGAACCCGCCTAAAATTTCATATCAAATTAATATAAACAATTTGAAATAATTTAATATAACTGCATGCAAAGTTTCTTACTGATTTCAGTTTCTTCATAAATTCAACGACTTCTAGTACTTCTTCCCGGATTTTGTTATAAGGAACAAAAACATCAGTATATTTTTGAATTACTTGAACCATCTATAAAATTTAAAACTAATTTTCAACAATATTACTTATATAGTTACAGTTGTTTCAGAAAAGTTAGATTTACCTCAATTAAATAAACAACGTAAGGAATATCGTCCCGTATTTCTGTATCCAAATTATTGTCAATATAATCATCCACGGTTCGAGGATTATCAACCAATTGAAATGGTAATAATAGAGAATCTCTATCAATCTGTGAAAAATATAATGATAATTCTATGATTAGGTTTTTGTTACTTTTTTCTACGGCATTCTTTATATTGCTATATCTTTTGCTATTGCTACGATTCTTTTAGGTTGATATGAACTATTTTTTATTTAATAATTAAATTTAATAATCTTAACTTCAATCACACAAATATAATTACCTTATTTATCTAAATTGAGAAAATAATAGAATATATTTTATAATAGAAGAAAAAATACTGTTGATTTCTGTTATTTTAAAGAAAATTCGATGACAAATAATAAAAACCCAAAAGGAAACATTTATGTCTAAAAGTTAAAATTATGTAAGATTAAAGAATTTATTAATTAAAGAAAGATTAATAAATAATTTGTATTTTATTCATAAAATTCCACTAAAATAATATGCACGCTCGCAAAAAACTTGATTGAAAAACTGAAAAAAACAGATATTCTTCTACAAATTCTTTAAATTAATTTTGTAATAAAACTTTCATATAATTGCCTGCACAATGAATAGAAAAAATAAAATTATGTTTCCTGTTAATCTTGTCCTCCATCAATATATACTTACATAAACTAACATTTCATTGCTGTCGAAAAGATTGCTTTGAGCATAAAAATTAAAAAACGTGGGAATTCCAAATTCCGATGATATATCAGCAATTTGGTACCATGAAAAGCCATTTGATTTCTTCCAGCCAGGTGTGATTATTGGCAAACCTCCAAGCCGGATTAATAATCGCTCTAGTTCGCCAAGGCCCAGGCGATCGATGAAATCTGTTGCAGAATTTACATCGAATTGATCAAATAAATATTTAAAAATTTATTACTATCAAAAAATCAACGTGGTTACATAAGTATATGTAGAGCGGGCTTAAAGATCCGCGGGTAAAAAGGCCTTTTACCGATATCTCAAAAACAAGTAAAGTTAAAAAATTTTAACAACAATATTTGAAAGTAGAGGGAAAAATATGTACAACCAGCCATCACCTTCCAACTCCGCTGATGAATATTTTGGACCATATATCAGATCAAGATTATATATAGAGATATCTCTGTAAAAAATGTACCCATAAATTTATATTTTGCATTGGTTGAATAATGTAACTATTATTTTGTTAAATCCCTTTAGAATTAGACATTGGTTTGTCCTCTGTCCGTCCGATATGGTAAAAAAAGCCAAGTGACAAATTTTTGAAAAATAGCAAAAAACACATTCCTGGAGCGATAAATTAGCTGGGAGTTGTTCTGAACATAGTCATATAGTTGTTTTTTGTAATGTGTTATTTGTTGTTATGTAGTTCGTTTGGTTTTCATAATATAATTGCTCAAAGTCAAATTGGACCGACCCTAACCCTATATATAGATATATCTATTTCTTTTTTAACTTTCCGAAGTAGAAGTTTATACTTTTGCCAGGTAAACTGTATTGCTAATTTTGTGTTTTATCGACGCTTCAAGTCATTCTAAATCGTGTGAGACCAAATTTGAAAAAATAATGTGTTGGTGTGTATGCGGGCCAATTTTTGAAGTTTTAACAAAACCACTGAACCGATTTCAAATATTTAAAGCCATTAGATACAAGCCGTTTCTTTATAAATAGCAGGAAAATGAATATTTTTTTGTCCACGTTTTAGGCAAAAATACTGAATCAATTTTAAAAATTGAAAAAGGTTTCGAAAGATAACAGTTAAAAGTCGTCTAATTAAGGTCATGACCCCCGTGACCATTCCCCTTCCACTCCGCCACTGTGCATATGTTACAATTTATTTGAATCGCGGAAATGTCTTCACTATTTTGTTTAGTTATTTTCTAGCGTCTAACCTGAAGCATTAATTGTCATGGCAAGAATATAAAAAACATGTATATTTGTTAATATGTTTTGTAAAACTAATTATTTGTAAAGTAAAAGTTATATCCTACGCGCTTGTAATATTTCTAAAAAAGTTTCACAATATTTTTATAATAAACTCGATGAGCCTGATTTTGTATTCTGATATGAAATGAAATAGAATAATATATAAAAAAAATCATTTAAATGCAATTGAAAATCACAAGTGTCTTCTTGACAATTTCAGATTTAAGTAAAATTCGCTTTAGTTTGATACAATTGTTATTGTTATCTCTAGAGTATATAATTCTATATTAAAATATTCTCAGACCTTGGAATATGTTTCGAATTGAAACCCGTATTTAATTATTTTGAATATACGGCCAATTATAAACCAGTTCACAGATACATATGTACTTATACGTACTTATTTCAATGTTTTTAGCAACATATTAAAAGATATGATGATATAAGAGTATTAATACTTACATGTATCCATACATCCTGCAAACATATCTTTTGCTTTTCGTAAAGCAGTTGGGTCATTTATCTTTTTTGGCTCTTCTATAATTTCTAAAATAAAATAAAATAGTATTAGAACTAAACCTAGTATAGATGTACCCATATATTATAATGGCAATAATAGGAAATGGCTGATGGGTTGGATGAAAAGAATATTCTAAGATCTTCGCGCGATCTAGCAGTTAGACAAATTGTATTGTCACAAATACAACAAACTTTATAGTATTTCATTAACCCCAAATGAATAAAAAGCAGTTGATAAATAAAGAAGAAACGGTTATTGATACATAGATTTTTGATAAGATAAAATACTAATACTATATTTGTTATATTCTCTTTCAACAATAATAAAAAGATAAGCTAAGACATTATTTCTTTACCAGACATAAATATTTAATTTTAAATTCTGATTAAATGATGAAGAATATGACTTGAATATTTTGGTTTAACGGATCCAAACAACACACCTCTACATTTTTCTTCCAGTTCATCTTGCACAATGGCATAATGATCTATGTAAGGGTAGTCTTCTGGTATTGGTTTAGCACTTTTAAAATTTCCACAGGTGAATTCATAAAAATCTTCACATGGATCTGCGCTAAAATTCATGTAATTCCATTCTGGAAATTCCCAGTTCGCTAAAATATTAGATAATAAAATAAAATAATTTAGTTAATGATAAAGGATCATGAAATCACTTTTTAGCAGTAAAATTCATTAATATCATCAATATTTACAAACGGTAATTGATAAAATCTTTGCTTTCATGCCAAATTCAGAAACGTTATAACGTTTTTTATTTTAATAAACATACACTAATTTTTTCGTTCTTATTTTGATTTATAATTATAAATCACTTACCATAGTTAATATTTTTTTGTTTGGGTGCATCTTCTGCGACAATTAGGGTGATCAAAGAACACAAACACATCCATGCACAGAACCTCCGCGTTCTTAAAGAAAAATATATTTACTATTACTACAAATTACAAATTTTTGATTATTGAACATACCTATATGTATTCTCAAAAATTTCAACATCTTAATATATTTAGTGTATACAGTTCTTTAAACATTGTCTGACAGAAACAAAATTGTTAACTTATATTTGAAAAGAAATCACTATATATAATAATTGCTTTTCTATTAAATGATATTTTTTGTATGTAAAATTTAAACATTTTTATAACATCTTATTATAGAAATCTATCCTGGTGCAATGAGATTTTTTATTCCAAAATTAAATTCTTTATCTAACTCATTTATCCAATTATAAATTCCCGAATTATCAATACCTTGAAATAATAATTCAAGTAAATCTTATAAAGTAAAATTTGAAGTTAGTGTTTTCATTTCTATTTTTCTTATATTAATGTATAAATTTTTGGTAATTTTAGTAATTTTCAAATTTGTACAACGTACATTAGCTATATGTAGTAGAAAAGTTTTAAATTTTAGTTTGAAGACTTAAAGTTTAATAAATTAAATACATTCGAATAAAAAGTAATACATGAACATGTTAAGTTTTTAAAAGGTTAAGTTTGTGAAATATAACATTGTTTAATTATTAACTTTAGTATATATGTTTGAAATGTTTCGCATACCAATGACGTTATTATATGACTAACAGTTCAGAAATGTTTAATTATTTATTTATAAACAAATACTTTTGACGCCGTGATTTGATATTTGTTTTGTTACTGAATTTAATTCTTGATTAAATACATGAGATCGTATAATTAGTTTAAAATCACAAATGCTGACTTTACTTTTTCATTAATAATATTATAAGCTTAATCAATAAATCATTTATATATCAGCCTGCATTAAAAATTAAATCTTCAGGGTTTATTTATTACCTCGATATCATCTTATAATTCTTTTTAAATATACACGTTCTATTTACTTAATCCACTATAAGGTTGCAATTGTAACAGATGTAAAAAAAATACTCACAAAATTATTCGCGTTAATTGAACAAATGTTTCAATAGACCTAATCTTTATCTTATACTGATAAAATTTAAGATATTATTAATTGTATAGAAAAACTTATACATTGAAAGGGCTTATATATATATTATATATATATATATATATATATACTCCAAAGGTACAAAAATAATCATTCGCCAAAATTGGGAAATGATGCATTTTCAAGGTAAGGTCCAGCAAGATTGTTATATAAATTGCAAATCATTGAATGGCCAGTCATGATAAATGTAAATAAAACTTGAATGCGAAAATATTAATAAGCTTATTTATAATTATAAATTATACCTAGTGGTGTATTGCATCGTGCCATTAGGCAAATTGCTGGAATTTCCCAGACCTTAATGAAATATTCGAAAAATATTAAATATTTTAAAATAGATTATTATAAAAAATGTAACTTTTATTAGTCTTATTTTATAAAAAGTAAATAAAAAAAACTTAATCAATCGGATTTAAAATGAAAAATTTTGTCTTACAATTAGTTATAACATTTCTAAGTATTATATAAACTCACACAAATTAAAATTATTTATTTGAAGTATATAAGTGATGTTGAGAACTTTAGCTAGAATTAGAATTAAAATCCGAATATATTCTTCGATATTCAAAAAGATATTTTTTTGAAAATTCAAAAAAATTATTTTATTAAAATAAACAAAGTTCTTTCATCAAGAGCAATCGCTTTATCAACACAAAAAGAACGTTTTTTCAATAATTCAAATCAGATAATTCTCTCAAAAACTGCTATTTTTGCACATATATCTTCAAAACGGCTAAGCTTGCCAGTGCCAAAATCTAATCACTTTTTTTCCCCATCATTACGAATCGAATGTTTTTTGGGTCATTCAAATCGGTTGATCCGTACTTTTAAAAACTGACATTTTAACACTTTTTGCTTCATATCTCCGAAGCCGCTGGACCTGTCTTTGTCAAAAACTAATCAGCACGTCTCCCCATCACTAAGAATCGAATGTTTTTTGAACCATTCAAACCGGATAATCCGTACGCCTGAAATCGTCGACGAAAAATTGTCTCTACACATACACACACACATCTATTTTTCCTGAGGTATGCCAAAATGTTTAGAAACCTCTGAAACGTAAAGATATGCAAAAAAAATTATTTACGATTGTTGGCCCATTACTAACTTACCCTACGGGAAGTTAAAAATATCGTCCAAAATAGTTTAGAAAGTCTAAAATAATTATAATTATTATTAGCAAATATATAGTTGTATTGTATGCAGTCTACTACAGTTTCAAATAATTATACTAAGAGTAAATGTCTGTTTGCTTAAATTCTCAAATGATATCCGCCAAACGGTTCTTCTATTTTCAAAATTTGTCCAGAATTTTCACTTTTCTGCTGATTTTACAGAAAAGACTCGGCCGATCGCCCCGCAAACAAAACATTGTTGACAATTAATCCAGAATAACTTGAAACGTCGAGAAAACATACAATTAGTGAAATTTTTGACTAAAACTAACTTCTCACTGAAAGTGAATAAAATGAAATTTCCAATGTACAAAATTTCATGCAACTAACAGAATGAATCTTTTATTTCTTTTTGTTGAGCATCTAACAAACCAATTATTTTTTAGGATGAAATTTTGTAGAAAACATGTATTTTTCAGCCACGAGACTGTCACACATAATACGCATGACCCATGATCTTTCATTTGAACCATTATATGTGATAAGAGTCTTTTTCCAGAATTTTAAATTCTACAAAAATATCAATCCAGTAATGTGAGTTATTCGTATTTTTTATTTTTACAAATAATCAATCATTTTTAATTGGATTAAGATAAAATAACTCGACAGTCGATTGTAATCTTTTTCTGAAAGCCAATAACAATAAAAATGATTAATTTTATTTTAAATCTTTAATCAAATAGAATTATATACCAGTCATAATTCGAACCTAAGATTTTAAATAGCTTATGACGTTTCCTTAACTACTGCAATGACTAATAATTAGTTATTAATAACAGAAACTAAACAGAAAATTGATAATCAATCACTATTTTCATTGAAAATTTAACACCAATTAAAAACATAAGGTCAAAATGGAGTTGATGAGAGAAATGTTCATTCAAATGTCATCGAAGAAAATATAAAACTCAAAGATGTTGACTAGAAATATGACGAAAATGCTTATTATTCCATGAAATAATTGCCAATGTAAACTGGAATCACAAAAAGTAAGAAGTATAATTTAAATACCTTATTGAGTGTACAATGTGGCCGACCAGTATTCATGTTAATTTGAAAGCAATTCCATTGCGACAGTAACTTGATACAGTGGTATCGAACCTAACAAACCATTGATTCATCAATTGTGGTAAATGAAACCCATTATTAGTTAACTCAGATGTAAATAAAAACGTTTTAAATTATTTTTGTATTCACTTATTACAAAACGACACAAGAAAAATGATCACCTTTTGACCATTTGACCGAGTTGACATTACGAATGCAACGTAACTATACAGGATGTCCAACCGGAAGATAGTTGAAAAATTGCATTAATTGGTTTCTAACTGCGTTAAGTTTGGTACAAATTGTAATTTTTATAAATTATTTAATTAAAGAAAGTCTAAGTAATTATTTATATAATGTCAAATTAGTTCTTCTTTATACATTTATATCAATGGATTAAATGTTACTTTATAAAGTGTACATGGTTAAATCCATGCATATGGATTTATTTTATATTCTAATATTGTCTAGCGTCAAATCGAATAATTAGAATTATAAAAAATAAAGTTCAAAAATATTCATTTAGCGTTGTAGGTATAATTATTAACTTCCCGCAGGGTAAGTTATAGTAATCGCAAAAATATCGAAAATGAAAATTTTAGCATATTTTTACGTTTCAAAGGTTTTTAAACATTTACATATTGGCAAATCTTACAAACAATGGATGTATGTATGTATGTGTGTGTGTGTGCGGATACAAATTTTTGTCGACGATTTCGGGAACATCAATCAACCGATTTGGATAATTCAAAAAACATTCGAATCGTATTGATAAGAAGACGTGCTGATACTGCTGATTAGTTTTTTTGGCAATGGCAGACCTATCCGTTCCGAAGATAAACGGCAAAAAGTGCCAAAAACGATAACTCAGTTTTTAAGAGAACGGAGTGTCCGATTTTAATAATTCAGAAAGAATGCTGCTTGTATTGACAAGGTGAAAATCTGATTCAATTTTAGGCAGGTCTAGCGGTTTCGGAGATCTAGAAAAAAAAAGTAAAATAAATGCCATTTGGCGGTCAAAAATGATCATTGGACATATGCACATTAAATTATAAGATATTTTATGGAGATTTTAATGTGTATCATTTTTTTTACATTTTTATAGGTTCCGTAACGTCATTTGTCGTTTGTCCGTTAAACGGATTTTAATTTAAAATTCTTAATTTAAAATTTCTCAAAAATCTAATTTTTTCAAAGTTAAAAAAAAGTTTTTATCTTTTTTATAAAAAATTTTGGTATGGTACCATACTGATACACCCTTATGCTTATTTATCTAGGGATACACCACTAGTTCGAATTTTAGTTCGTCTCTCTCTGTTTGTTGCGTCGCTGTCGTCAATGCGCTGCCTAGGCAATGTGACGTTGTTTCCATGTGTTTTTGAGGTTAAGAATCATTAAACGCTTTAATTTGATATCCTGGAAATAAAAACATAATATTTACTTTTAGGTACTTTTGTTTATTAAAATAAAGGTTCACAAAGACTGCCAGGCCTGTACACGACAAAAAACCACATGGCAGTCTGAATAATCTAGTTGACCCTTCTGACCCATTGGTTTCGGCTAATACTGGATTCGTTGTGCTCCCAATAGTTCATAATACCATGATTACTGATTATAAAATTGTGTAAAACCATGATTCGACATTACCTATCGTTGTATTACGTTTCCCGTATCTCTTGTTTATATTTATCATTTACAAACACAACTTGAAAGTTGTGCAAACTTAATGTTATTATTACGTTCTGCAGTTAGATTGATAGTTAATACGATGCCGGACATAAAATTAATTAGACCATGTTCATTAAAAAGTAGTTTTACTTATGAGGTTAGTTTATTGTTATAATTCAAGTATTGTGATTTTAAATCATTTTATTTACAGCACGTATTTGCAAATTTTATTTAATAGATAAATTTGTTAAAGAATGTGAACCCATATTTAAGACTTATAAAACAGATATTATTGCAAATGATAAACAGAATAGAAAATCATTCAAGGTTTTCTATAATCAACAACTAACATTTAGCATTTTTGTTGCGTTCCAAGGAAAAACAACATCATTTCAAATAATACACAAAATATTTATAAATTCTTCATTATTTTATCTTACTTTTGGAATATGTCCTTCTTTAATAATATTGTGTAACTTTCCCTAATATTGTAAGTATTGTATTAATTAACACAAGCTATATTATAATACAACCATATATATAAACCAAATTTAAGATGAGTGTTATACTTAAATATTGTTAATATATTTATATAAATAATAGTTTATTTTTAGGATGCCATTGAAGCCCTTAACGGCTTACAGAGCAATGCTTCTGTATTACAACAGTCAAAGACTCGAGCTCACAACGAAGCTTGCAAAAATTTAGATGAAACTAGAAAGTATATGTTTCGTTGTGGAGTTTCTATGAGTAAACTTAATTTGCTTTCTGTTATCCATGTTGCCGGCACAAAAGGAAAGGTATTAATCAATTGAACTAAGTTTTTGTGAAAGAAATTTAAAATAAATAAATAAATTTCTTAAAATATTTATTAACTACTAATTTGCTAGCTAAAAAATTAAACAGAAATGTTAATAATTGTAACTATTTCATAGATATTGCAGTTGTTACAACATCATTTTAATCTCATATAAAATTTATTACAATTTTTCAAATATATTTTTTATTAGGGTACAACTTGTGCTTTGAGTGAATCTATTCTACGTTCCCATGGGTTCAGGACAGGTTTTTTCTCATCACCGCATTTAACTTGTGTTACTGAAAGAATACGACTTTGTGGAAAACCAATAAATAGAGACGTATTTGTTCACTACTTTGAAACAGTCTACAAAGCGCTAGAAAGTAAAAAGGTATGGATATTAATGAATATGTGAAGATGTTTTTATTTGATTTGTATCTTAATGTATTTGTTAGTGAATCAATGTTATAGCATAGATTTACACAAATATATTATAAAATTAGACTATGTACTAAACTAATTTTATTTCAGGAGCATACCCATGACATGCCACCATACTTTAAATTTTTAACTATTCTTGCGTTCCAAATATTTATTTCTGAGAATGTAGACGTAGCAATAATCGAAGTTGGAATAGGAGGTGAACATGATTGCACAAATGTTTTGAGGTTTGTTTTTAGAATTTGAACATAAAATATAAGTTTCTGTAAGTATTATTTTTAATTTATTTACTAGGAACGTATCAACAGTAGGTATAACATCCTTAGGTATTGAACATACTGCAATTTTGGGCGACACAATTGAACAAATAGCTTGGCAAAAAGCTGGTATTATGAAACCTGGTTGCCGAGCATTTACAGTTCCTCAAAAATATCCAAGTGCCATGACTGTTCTCAAGAAACGTGCAGAGGAAATTAATGTATGTATAGAACTTAACTGAAAATTTTAAGATAAACATCTTAGGTAAATATCTTTATATTTTAGATACCTTTAAAAGTGGTACCCACATATGATTCATATACATTTTCAAGTGAACCTGATTTACAAGTTGAAACTGAAGCCCAGAAATTAAATTTATCTTTAGCAATTCAAATAACTAATCATTGGATGCAAAAACATCGTAATGAAATTGGAATAAATCAGATGCCATTGCAAGATTATCAAACCAATTTTATATTAGATATTGATGAAACTTTTGTAAGAGGAATCAACAAACTTTCATGGCTTGGAAGATACCAAATAGTAAAATGGAAGTGTTTGAAGTATGTTCTGAATATATCATATATTAAAGCAGTTTCGGTTTGATTTATTCATTAATTGATATTTTGCAGTGTGTATTTAGATGGGGCTCATACTATGGAAAGCTTAGAGACATGTGTGGAGTGGTTTAAAAGGAAATCTAGGTAAGCATCAATAAACTGGTAATTGTATATATGAATATGAGGATCTATCTAATATGTTTTATGTGAAATTGTATTTATAATAATCATCTATTTCAAGTGGAAACATCACACATCCGAAAGTCTTAATATTCAATGCAACAGGTGATAGAAATTCATCATTACTTTTGAAAAAGGTGGTTACGCAATGCTATTTTAAAAGTGTGATGTTTGTACCCAATGCTGCTCATGCAGATCGTGCTCTTCGTAATGGTTAGTTGAAGTTTTTGATTTTATTTTATGCCTAGTAAGAAAATATATTTTACCTTAATTTGTGTTTTATCAAGATCTATTAACATTTGATTATTTTTTTTTACAGATCAAAATAATTACTCTATGCCGCTAAATATGCAAATGGAACGTTGCTATGAGCACCGGGACGCTTGGAACAAGATTATTGAAGAACAACACAGAAACACTAATATCTTGAATAATTTATGCAGTGATTTTAAAAGTAATAGGAAATCAAATCAGAATATCTCAGAATCTCTTTCATCAATCAATGCAGAAAATTCTCAACAATTTAAATCAACAAATGCACATAGTAGTAGTTTTATTGTGGAAACCATATCATGCAAAAGTAATGGAATTATGACAAATAATTGCCATAATAAAGAAAATAATATGGAAAATTCTAATATTAAAAATATGAATATAACAGAAAATGGAACAAAAAAGATGGAAATAGAGCAATCGAGGGAAATAAATAATCCTTTTAAATCCTACAACAGTGAATGTCATGTTTTTGACAGTGTCTACACAGCACTACAATTTTCAGTTCAACAATATGGACCATGTGATGTCTTGGTGACTGGTTCATTGCATCTGATCGGAGCTACTTTAATAGCATTAGATCACAATTCTGCAAATGGTTAAAATATCTTAAATCAGTCAAAAATGAGGGAGAAATCTTTGAAAATAGAGAAAATATAACTTCAACTATATTCTTGCATCACAATTTCCTATATGCAGCACCAAATGAAGAATTAATGCTTTGTTTAATTTGAACGCATATAGGGAGATTATTTTTAAGATTTGTTTGATCTTGTTAATTTAATTTTATAATAGGTATAATTCATGTCATATTTTGATGACTGAGTTCTTTCTTAATGATTACGATTATTATAATGATTTTAGATGTATTTTCTATTCACCCTATTCTGAAAATTATTTTAAATATATTTAAATATACATATCTTTAAATCATAATTGTTAGTATTATATGAATATATATGTTTGTATACATGTACATTTCGAATATTATATATTTTTATAATAAAATATTTTTGTACCTTATAATCGATTAGAGTAATTATTATTGTTCTTTAATTTTAATGAATTCTATTGACAAAAGTGCTAAAGAATATTTTTCTATTGTATTTAGGCAAATTGCATCCTTCCTTATTGCTTGCTTAAATAAACGACTTTGTCAAAAAGAATTGAAATTTAGCAATTGATTATTTTAATCGATCTAATCAGCGCGACTCCCACCCGATTTCATCCGAAAAGTTATTGATTTTCCAAAACCGGCTTAGAATTTTTCGCGAAACATGGATGAAAAATTTCTGTTATTTGTAAAGAAAGAGCCTGGTTCTTATCGATTTCATCAAATAACTTTAATTATTTTGAAATCTGTTTGGCTCAAATACATATAATACACATAGGTATTGGCGAAAACAAACTTTTCTATAGGGAAGATATTGTTTTTATAGGGAAGATCATGTATTTATACATAATAACTGTTTCATATTATAATTTATAATGATATCATTTACAAAAAATATATATTTATACAACAATATGCATATGCATATATGCCTACTATGCGTGTAATTCTTTGAATATTTAACGGTAACTTTATAGATATCATATTGAAGATCCTAGACAAAATTCTTCATATGAATATATTTATTATTATATTAATAAAGATTGTCTAGTATCTACTTACTCATTCATGCACCATCTATTCATTTGTTTAATGTTAATGGACTCGTAATTTTCAAATGCTTTAGTTTAAAATATAAATGATTCACATTAACTTTGATTTATGTTGTAGTAAATTATAACGTGAAATTGCTATAAATAACTTTCGAAAATAAATATAAAAAAATCATACAAATTATAAGATTGATATCATCATGATATCTTCATCTCCGCCTTCGGTCAATCTTCGCATTCTAACCAATGGCAACGCAGATTCAGTTAAATCCATTATTTGCATGCGCGCGCTTGCTATATTTGGACCAATGAGAACTCAGGAATTCGGGTGATCTTAAGCTAAAAGTGTAGGGGGTGGAAATATATCTTTACATAATTGATATTACTGTACTACCATCTTCATTCTTAGCGACACTTTTCTGAAAATGAAACACTTATGACAGGAAAATATTGCGCAATTAAGAATCTAACTAGTGGTGCATGGCAATGCCGTGATGGCATCGTGCATTAAATCAAATAAATTAATGGAATTTAACTAAAAATTTTGGAATTTGCTTGAATCGTATAAGTAAACTTTGAAAATTAACAATCTTGGTATGGAACCCAACAAAATTGTATCAAATTGTATCAAAATTATTACTCATTTTTAAAAAAAATATCAAATATCTGATAATTTGATGAGCATATGTCTGATGATTATTTTTGACCAGGACAAAAAATTGTATCCATACATGCACACACACACATACATCCATTTTTTTGCTAAAATGCCAAAATGCTCAGAAACCTTCAAAAAGTGAAGATATGCAAACATTTTCATTTTCGTTTTTTTTGCGATTACTATAATCTTACCCATAGATAAAAGAAGAGTATATGTATGATCAAAGAAGAGTATATATATGAACTTACTCTACAGGAAGTTAACTAATTTATAGTATATAAGGTTATTGACTATAAAAAAATCTTTTTTCCCACATCATATTTTAATATATTGCAATAGATCTAATTAGGTTCAAAAATTGCTATCACAATAGTTTATTTTCACTCTCCAAAAAATAATATATTACACAGGTCAACAAAGAAAATGGTGCAAATGATTTTAATACTGTTTTTAAGTATATTTGTGGCGCTGATTTCAAAAATGACATTGGTTTTTTTCTATGAGCTTTAGTTTTCAAGATACGATATATATGATATATTTTGCGATATTAGGTGCGCAACTAAGTTCTCGCTGTTTTTTCGATGAAAATGTAACTTTATTATAAAAAAATTGCATCAATTGAGTTCGATACAGTTCTTCAGTGATGGTTTCACTCGGTTTCAACAGCTCATAACAAATAACACCGACCTGGTCCCACCATATGTAGAGCATAACCTTCGCAGTGAATATTCGGCCGAACCGAGATGTTCTCGTCTTCGGATTGCTGTAATGTATTCATTTTTTATCACCTGTCACGATGTGATGAAGAACCTCTTCTTTTCTCGCCGCTGGAGTAGTTGTTTACAGGCGAAAAACGACGCTCGACGTCTCTTGGCTTCAACTCACAAGGAACCGAAGTTTCTTGCTTCTAAGTCATCCCCGACACATGCAATAGCTTGGAAATGGCTTGATCGGTAACTCCTAATTCTAAAGCAAGATCTTCTTGAGTTTGGCACGAATCCTCTTCGAACAAAACCTTCAATTTATCGTTTTTGAAGGTTTGGCCTTCGAGACAGTAGGTCTCGATGCACTTAAATTCCCGTTTTTTTTTTGAAAAGAAGACGAAAATCAACACTCCTCGCAAATAACGATTGTTTGGCATAAAATTGGACATATTCACTTAACCAGAAGTATATAATGCGTAATTATGTGTCGCAGCAGTTTGTTTACTTACTCTAAGCTTGCTTCAAGACGTTTTGGATTTGTCAAAATCGACCAACCCTTACTGCTAGAGCCATATACTGACAAACAGCGAGAACTTAGTTGCGCACCTAATATGAGGAACGAAAGTACAAAATAGTAATACAATTCCGAATGTTATTTTAAGGAGATATGCCTACTCGTACATACAAACTTACAAGACCCATTCGGCCTTAGTTGGGACATTACTTGACACTGTGAAAAGTTCTTTTCCGTGACGACCTCGAATGGACCTGGTTTCGGCAAATTCTTTGTATCTCAAAAACTAGAGCTGATACAAAGAAATGGTTTGCAGATTTGAAATCAGCGCAAAAAATAATATAAGAATCAGCTCTAACATTTGAGGCACCAAAAAAAAAATTTTTTTTGTTGGCCTGTGTTATTTTTGCTCCAAAACTGAATTCGCAAATTTTGGGTTTTTTTTAGCAAGTTTTAAGCACTTTTTAGCAATTTGCCATAGAAATTAAAAACTTTATAGATTTTGATATAATACAATAATTTTCGTGGTTACTGATCGGGCTGTTTTTCTATAATTATAACAATTAGAACAAGAAAAACTGAATTTTCACAAAAGTTGTGTTCGTAAAAGTTTTTGATAATGACGGTTTGGATGAACAAAACGGGTTCTTTATAAAAATATATATTTTATTTATATTTGGACTATTCTAAGCATTGACTTAAAATTATTAAATTAATTTATAAGCTTTTAAATTATTGTTATATTGTTCGCGAGTCTTTTTGTTCCATGGTGGTAATTAATACATTTAATTATCACAATATATTTCATACTTTCATAATATATACTCTACACCTGTGGACTGAGAACCGGGGTAAATTGCCCCAAATGGGTAAAAATAATATTTTTGGGGGTAAAAAGTATGTATTTTTAATTGATATTCAATGGATTTGCTACATAGTTATCCATACGGGGTCATCTTTTCTGGCGATGGGGGTAATATCTACTTAAACAAAAAAAAGGGGTAATGATTAAAAAAGTTCTCCGACAGCAGCTCTACACATTTAAAATTTTAATAACGCCTAAAATAATTTGAATATACAGTTTTGAATATCAAGACTATCAGTTACATAATAGAGAATGCTTAAGCATAATAATTTTTATTCGATAAATAATTGAGTAATTATTAAATAATTGAGTAATCCTAAGACAATTTACAAAATAAACAAAAATATTATTACCATTAGTTTTAAAATAAATTGTCAATCGGATCGTTTGTCAATTTGTTTTAAATTAGGTATATAATATTTAATTCTCAGCGATTTATGAATATTTTTTCAAGAGAAGTATGTATCTATATATCTTCATCCCAGTTGAAAATTTTGAAAGTTTCGACGTGAATCCGAATGTCATTTCGCGAAATAAATGCCATCCCCCGAGGCAGATATAAACTCGCACTTATGTCGCTGAATATCTGTGGGGGGCGGTTTTCAATTTGCCACAAGTTACAGACTCGTTAAACCAATGATTGTGAGCTTTAGGGGGTTGCTCCAAAAAGCCCGCCAACTTGCGAGAAATTGCAATCAGTTTATCATAAATCATCCAAGAGAATATAAGTACAATTTGTTGTTCGTTCCATCTTTACATACCGGAATTTATTTTTAAAACTAGAATTTTAAAATATGTGTAGTGTTAAATAATTAAGTAAATACTTATATGTATTAAAATAGTTTTAATAAATATCTCGATTAAGAAAAATTTTCGGCAGCCAAATAGGTGCAATAAATTGTGAAGTGCAAAGACAATGCAAGGAAAAAATAAAACATCATTTTTGATCAAGGATATTTTAGATGACGTATTTGGAGCTGCTCGAGGTATTTTCTCTACTTTATTAAACGTTATATATACTTTCTTAATGAAGCCCTTATTAAACATCTCATATTGTGACAAAATCAACTCTATAATAGTGGTGTATTGAATTTAACAATATAATAGGGGCTAGCATAGTAAACATGTTTAACATCCCGAAAGAGTTTATGTTTTCGACAGGTAATCCGATTTGGTAATTGACAAATATGTTATTGTCAATTTTTCACCAAAATTTCCAAACCGGTTTTGATAATTTTGAAAGATATCAATTGGTACAAGTTTTTGGTAAGCTCAACCAAGCATTTTTCTTCATACATAGATTTGAATGAATCTTTGAGTAAAGATAGAGTTCATAGTTTTAAACATCATAAATATTATATTTATACGAAAAGTGGTTCATAAAAACTAATTATTGTTTGGAGTAATGGGATCAGAATTGGACATACACCATGTGCACTAAAATAAGCGCGTGTATAATTTATTCGTTCATTATTCCTATGAAAATGTAATTGTAACAATTGTAAAAGTTGTTAAATCTCAATTCTTATTAATTAAGTTAATTATTTACACAGTTTATGCAACTGGCTTTAAGGAAAAATGCCATTTACATCGAGATAAAATTTCTTTTAGGGTGGTTTCTCGCCATATTGCTATATTGCTTACTGTGTTATCAAAATTTATTTTATTGCAATTTTGATAATGCGATATCTTCTTATATATAAAAATGAATCGCTAAATGTGTTGGTAAGCGCATATCTCAACTACGCCTAGACCAAATTGGCCAATTCTTTTTTTAAAATGTTCGTTGAAGAAGTCCAAGGATGGTTCTTACGGCGAGAAAAAAATCGAATAATTCCCGGGAAAACCCTAAAAACAGCCCTTTTCATTTTCACATACAAACGTTTTCTAACTAAAACGTAGAATCAATTTGAGCTTTAGTTTATTATAATGAATTTATAAAGGTAAACTGATGGACAGGTAAATTAAAGGATTTGTAAAATGATAAAGAGGAAAACTGGTAAATAGACGAATATGTAAACAAATAAACAGGTTGACAAGTTAATTGGTAGACATGTAGAACAGGATGACAGGTAAATTGGAAAGCAGGTATATTGATTGACAGGTAAAATGGTGTATCGATAAACAGGTCGATAGATAAATAGGTAAAATATGGTAGATTGATTAACAAGTTGAAAGGTAAATTCGTAGACAAATTATTGAATAGGTAAATTGTTGAACATATTGATAGCAGTAACGATAAACTAAATGTAATAAATACACATCTTTGTTCAACTTTTTAATTTAAACTAAATCACGGCAAAGCGTGAATAGGTACAGCTAGTTTTAAATATATATAAACACATTTACTTATTTTTCCGACAAATATTTTAAACTCTCAGTTGCAAACGCTTTGTTTTTGTACTTATAGTCTTTAGAACAAAAATACAGTTAAAAATTTGAAAAAAATACGATATTAAGTAATTCATGAAATTTAATAAAAACAAAATTAGCGAATTTTTATGAATATTCAATAATTGCAGCAAAGCAGATTTGTAGAATTTTGCATAATTTCTAATTATTTATTAACGTTTTTGGCACCGCAGTCACTTGCCGAAAATGAGATATATTTTTTGTGAAGTTAATTTTTAATTAACGATACTTAATTCATCATTCTAATCGTAGATAAAAGTAGGGTAATATAATTCGAATCTATATGAAATTACCATTTCCTAGGTATTTACCAAATAGCTATTTGAATAGGTCCCTATTTTAATTCAATGGCGTAAAGCAGTTAACAATCTGTTTAAGAATTATTCTAATATTATAGGAATATTTAGAATTGTGGTATTTAATAAAACAAAAACCATATACTTGAAGAAATTTTATAGTTAATTTGTGTAGTATTGTATGTATAGTTTAAAGTAAGTATAGTAATTTATAAAACTATAGTTTTATAAATTACCTATAATATTTCTTCAAATTTATGGTGTTTGTTTTATCCCAGTCTATTGCTAAAATCTTTCTTCAAATACCACAATTCTAAATATTCCTGATACCATTCTCTGTATTTTCTTCTGAATATATATTTTTTTATTGATCACTTAAAATCACTCATATAAATGATTTAATATTGTTTCAGCGCCGGTGAATAATAATGCAAGCAATACTGACAATGAAACACTGACATCCTTAGAAACTGATCTGGATAGACAAAATGTAACTTCTCCTTATCATTCATTTGCGCAATTGGAATCGAATGAGATGCGTATCATTTTAAAAGGCAAAAAACGTAAAATTCAAACCGATTCTATAGATAACAGTTCGAATTATTTTGACCAATTGTTGGACCGTAATAAAGTCAGCTTAGAAGACTACTCAGCCAGCGTCCTACATCATCCAGATCGTGATGAACCAGGTGCAAATGATTCCAACGATCACACCAAGAACAGAAAGCCGAGAAGAAGAAGAACAGCCTTTACACATGCTCAATTATCATTTTTGGAAAGAAAATTTCGCTGCCAGAAGTATCTATCAGTGGCAGATCGAGGTGATGTCGCAGATACATTGTGCTTGACGGAAACCCAGGTTAAGACTTGGTATCAGAACAGAAGGTAAAGATGATAAAAAATTCGCTTTTCGATGTACTCCAGAGAATTCGATGTTTTAAAATAGCAATTATTATACTACCATTGCAGTAGCAATCATTATTTATTTATGTTAAGACGTCGATTACATCTTACTGCTGGCTTTGCCGTTATCACTTTCTAGAAAATTAATTACTGTACTTTTAAACACTTGTGTGCACTGTAATTATTAGAATGAAAAAACGACAATAGACATAGAACTATAAATTTTATTAAATGTTTGAGTAAATTTCTTAGGATGTTCTCAGTCTCGCACACTCGCAATTTACTGAATACTAAAAATTATAAATTTTAAAATATAAAATAAAATTCGCTGTCTGAAAGGCATGACAGCATACAAAATACTTAAATACTAATAAATACAGAAATTGGGATTTTTTATAATCCTTAGTAAAGCGAAAGTTTGCATTTGACCTGATACAATTTATTAGAACGGTACATGGTTTTATTGTAAGGATACGTTAATAATGAAAATATAAAAAGGGATGCGTATTTACTTAAGCTATGGAAAAATTTATATGATATGCACGTGCATCATGTGCTCTTTTAAACTAAATAATGAACATAAAATAATTAATAACAAATTCTTGACAATTTATCAGTTACATTTTTTTAATAAAGGTATTTTTAGGTTTTTTAAAAATGTGCTTTTGGTGCAATTAAGGCGCTTACTCGCCTTAGTCGTACCACCTACTATAGCTTTTAGATGTACCTACTACTAAAAAAAACTGGGACCAATTTTATCTTGTTATTAATTTCCAAGCCGAATATAAATATTAAAATAATACCTAAGATAAAAGAATAATCGCAAAAAGTCCAAATGTGCTTAAAAATTATTAGACTTCTGGGTAAAATTGAGTGATGAAACTGTTCATGAAGATAAATACGTTATTGGTTACACTCATTCGGTGTTTACAAATGTGAAAAAAGTAATATTGTATTTAACCACTATTTGCTTGTACTTAATAAGAAAAATCCATAAACCGCTCTTCATTAAACCGGTACGAATAAGGATTTTAACATACGACTTAAGCTGCAAGGTCTTTGGAGTTTGAAATAAAACTACAGACATAAAAACCTAAACAAATTCTAACTTTTGAATTTACCTGAACGATTGCCAAATAAGTAATATAAATAAACCATAATGAAAAAAAAATCAGAATCATATTTGCGTAAAAGTCTTCAAACTGGCTTCAGACTTACTTTTTGATTATTTCTACTTCACAAAATCGGACAGTCTTCCAATTAAATTCCAGTCAACTAAATAGTTCTAATAATAAAATAAATAATCAGACATTATTATAATTATCAGACTTAATCAGGGTACGACTTAGGCGGTGGTTCGACTTAGGCAACCTTACCTTAAACAATTATTAAGTATCGATTTTCAATGTTTATTCGGATAAAGATCACCGAATATAAGGCGCACTTGGAAACTATAAAACTTTTTAAAAGTATGTAAAAAGAATTATATTAACAAATATTTCTTGTATTTCAGAACAAAGTGGAAACGCCAGAACCAATCAAGATTAGAACAACTACACCAGGAAAGTAATTCATCTGTAAAACAATTCGATACAAATATTTCGGATGATAAATTACTAATAAGAGACAAACATACTTCTAATACCAATAGAGTCATGTATTGTCCTCCGAATAATTTAAACGTTGGAAGCGGATTTTTGTCAGGAATTATTTTTCGACCGTTTGGTCATTGATTGTAAAACTTAGAGATGAAAAATAAGTAAGAGGTCGAATAAAACTTAGTGTCCAAACTTTAAACGTAAAATTATGGTTAAAATTCATTTTTGATATTATTTGAATAAAACATTACTTATACAATGCATCATAGTAATAAATCACTTGTTATATAAAATATTATGTAAATTTTAATACTTTGTAACGTACTTGTTCTAATTTTTATGTTCATGCATATAAAAAAAAATCTGTATTTAAATGTAACTAAACGAATACGTTTCAAACCTTTTTGCTGACGAAAGATTTATATCATATTGAATCGTTATGTTTTATGAAGTAATAAATAGAACCTAAAAATATTATTTTGTTTTTTTTATATATAATAAATCAATTTTTAACAAATCTTTTCTCCAAGCACTTCGTCCTTACTACAATCGTCGCTACTCATACTAAAGTGTTAGAAAAAATCAGCTTAAGGATGATCTGAAAGCTCTATCAAAATATGTTTTCATATCATAAAATTTTAAACATTAGGTTTCATTTACCCTTATCTAAGGCAGTAATTTCGTAATTCGTAAGCCTCTCACTCAATCCCATTTTAGCTTGGGGCACCGCAATTCAAAAACGATGCCTTGAATATTCACCCAAGTATAAATGTTAATTCGAACCCCCTGCGGTGAAAAACATCGTGTCCAAATTACACCTCATTCAAAATAAATAACTGGCTAACGAGCTAGTTATTCTAATAATAAATCTCACAATCTGAATTTAATCATTAATGTTCTTTATAATGAATAATAATTTGAATTATACTTTCTATTATGTAATAACAGCAATATCGTAAAATTGACCTTAATTTTTTACCGAAAATATGTTATTTTTGCCAAGTAGCATTGCTTACCATTACAAAATTCAGCCTTTTCTTCTTTATTCAAATTAATTTTTGTATTTTTCTTTTTTGTTTACTCGATTTTATTTTCATTCACATTTCGATTTATGAGACTAACATCAATTACCTTTCTTGAACAACATCAAACAAATAAAAAAATCATCTTTAACCAGTACTTGGTTCATTCTGAAAAACAACAAAACTATTTTTTAGTAACTATAAGTCTTATAATTATGAACAACAATTAAATTACTTACTTATCACAATTAAATTTAATATTGGCAATAAGAAGTTTACAAATATTTAGTAGGCATACATACAAAATAATATTCTTATTGTTAGTGAGATGACACATTTAATTTACAGATATTTCTGAATGATTATCTGTTATCATGTTATTTAAACTTTGCTTAACCCGGCGGTTTTCAACGTGTGGGGCGTCAATAGCTTTTTCCAAAATTCTATTTTCGATAATAAACCAAAAATGAAAGAAAATATTAGAAAAAATGATCTAGTAAATAATTATTGTTTATTTATTTTTCTACATAATATTGAATATTAATTTGTTGTTTGTTAATAATTGAATTATATTATCAGTTGGGTTTTTATGAAATTATCAGAATTTTGTGTATTGACGAGTATAATTATTATAGTCATCATATCTATAAAACAATGACCATTTGCTAATTAGATTGCAATTTTTTAAAAAAAAATAAAACATATTCTCAAACACCAAGATATTAAGAATATTGAGATGCTGGTATAAAGTAATAGCTTTAAGTAAGAGGTACGAGGTCTGTTCAAAAAGTTTTCGTAATTTTCGTTTTTTCAAAAAAATATTTATTTATTCGTCTACATTAATGTCGTCCCCTTCAAAGTAGTCCCCCCCAGATATAATACACTTATGCCAGCGTTTTTTCCAATTTTCGAAGCACCCTTGATATTCACTTTTTGATATGTCCTTGAGCACTCTCAGCGATTTTCTTCAATCGAGGAAAACCGCCGTCCTTTCATGGGTCTCTTCAACTTTGGGAATAGGAAAAAGTCACACGGAGCCATATCTGGTGAATTTTTGCACTTTGCAACACTTTATTTCATTTTTTACGCAAAATTTAATACAAATTCTTTGACTTTTCAATTCTTCCATTGTAAAAATCGCCGAGCTCAGAAAAACACGTCGAACCTTAGCGACTACCACAGACAAAGTAAACAGTGAATATAGCTGAAAATTTCATCATACTTTAGGGGCATGTATATCAACACAATAAAAAAAAAATTTTGACAATCAGACACTCCAGACCCGCGAAATTTAATTATTAGTAATTCCGGGTACTTTTTGAACACACCTCGTATATTACTTGAAAAAAACATTTTACCTCGATACTAACGACCAAAAAATGTGTACACAATTCAATAAGATCGCTTTAGTTAACTGGTTAAATCAATAAGTGTACTTATTGTTAGTTTTTTTTATAAATATTAGTAAATTTATCTGAATTTACCTCAATTTATTCATTTATCTGATGCATTGTGAGTGACTCTACATGTTTTTCTGAGAGATAATTTGTGCCGAAGAAGATTCAAAATGTAAAGAATACTAGTGGGGCGTGGGGCAAATTGCTGGAACTTCCCGAACGATTTTTTTTTTTTTAAAAAAAGATTATCATTTTTGAAAAAAATTTACTCTGAAAAAAATTTACTCTGAAAAAAATAGATTTTTCAGAAACTATAAATTTCTGACAAAAATTTACTTTTTTTTGAAAAAAAAGTCTTTTTGAAGAAAAATTTATTTTGAAATATTTTGGAAATTCTGAACTTTTTTTCAACTGCTTTAACTGCATAGAGACAAAATATCGAAGCGCGTAAGCGCCGCGTTACGGATAAACATTGGTACGGAACCCATAAGAATGTAAGTAAACAAAATTTATACTTATTGTTAAAATCTCTATAAAATATCTAAAAATTTGATGTGCATATGTCTAATGATCATTTTTGACCGCCAAATGGCATTTTTTTTTTACTTTTTTTACTAGATCTCCGAAATCGCTAGACCTGCCTTCATGAAAATTTGATCAGTTCTTCATCTTGTTGATACAAGTATAATGTTTTCTGAATAATCCAAATCGGACGCTCCGTTCTCTTAAAAACTGAGTTACCGCTTTTGGCACTTTTTGCCCCATATCTTCGGAACTGCTAGACCTGCCTTCGCTACAAACTAATCAGCACGTCTCCTTATCAATACGAATCGAATGTTTTTTGAATTATTCAAATCGCTTCATCCGTGTTCCCGAAATCGTCGACGAAAATTTGTATCCAAACACACACACACACACACGCACACACACATACATCCATTTTTTCTAAGGTATGCCAAAATGTTCAGAAACTTTTGAAACGTAAAGATATATAAAAAATTTTATTTTCGATATTTTTGCGATTACTATAACTTGCCCTACGGGAAGTTAATAATGATAATCATGTTCGTTTTCTTGTTCATCAATTAAACCAATCACGACTATGGTCAGAGCATAGTGAAAAACCTAGATTCATTTTGTTCAATTTTGACTAGTTATTGAATAAAGGTTTAGCATATGAAAACAATAATCAAATATAGAATATATAATATGAATCCCTTTATATGAACCAAAGATTGAATATAAATGTATCAATTAAATAACTTATCTAAATTCGTGGAGTATTCATCTTTTGAAATCATCTTAAAAGCTTTAGGTAGATTAAAAGACGATGCTCATCCCTTACAAAAGCCTTATGATTATGCTCTGAATATCGCCATATCGCCGGCGTATCGTTGATTTGACGCAAATTACGTCTAATCAGAGTTTGTTTGTCAAGTGGCACTTTACACAATCGTCCAAATTGCCCCCCTTTGAATGGTATATACACTGCGCATAATCTGTGTGAATACAGATAATGGCATAAAGGCAGACAAGCGATTATTTGCCGGGCTCGCTCGAGCGTATCATCTCGTAACCGCTACGTCTACATCAAGCGCAATTGCGTAATTGCAGATGCACAGGGGTAGGTTCGCTATTCTCCTACAACTATGTACGAACACATAATTGAATCAACTATGAATTAAGCTTTATTTTTATATTTCTTTACGTTTCAGAGGTTTCTGAACATTTTGGCATAAAAGTGGTTTCGTAGACAATATCGGGAACACGGTTCAACCGATTTCATTTATTCAAAAAACATTCGATTGCTGTTGATAAGGAGACGAGCTGATTAGTTTTTAGCTTAGGTAGGTCTTTCTTTTTTTATGTTTTATTTCTTTTTAACTTCCCGTAGGGTAAGTTATTGTAATGGGCCGAAAATCGGAATTGAAAATTTTTACATTTCTCGACGTTTTGAAGGTTTCTGAATGTTTTGGCATACCTCAGAAAAAATGGATGTGTGTGTGTATGTATGTATGCATGGATACAAATTTCCAGTCGCGTTTCAGGGCGCACGGATCAACCGATTTGAATGGTTCAAAAAACATTCGATTCCTATTGATAGGAAAAAGAGCTGATTAGTTTTTGGCAAAGGTAGGTTTAGCCGTTTCGGAGATACGGAGCTAAATATGTAAAAAATGACAGTTTTTGAGAGTTTCTGCTTGTCTTAACAAAATTTTGTTCCAATTTTTTTTTTTTTTTAGTTTTTTGTATATCGAAAATATTTCAGATTTTATTTTTATTTCTGACTATAGTTCTAATATACTTTACAAATAATTTCAACTCTGCAATTCAGTTTATATAATTCTTATAAATATTGGACAATGTTACAATATTTATAATAATCTATTTGAAAACATTCAGTATTCCTCGATCATTTCGTTACGGTAGGGGAAGTTCCAGCAAATTGCCTTAAGGCACGATGCCATAATTGCCTCAAGACAGAATTCCACTTACAGCTAGTTTTATGTTTTATTTGATTGTTTGTTTTTTCTTATCGTTTTGTTTTTTTTGTCTTTCTTTTCTTTTTTATTTTATTATTATTATTTTTTTTATTAACATGTGTTATATATACCTAGTAGACACGCCGCTGGGTGTTGCTACTACCTTGTTTATATTATATGATAATTATTGTTAGCAATCTCTGCTTAATGTTAATGAACATGTAAAACAGATTGCAGAATGATTTAAATAAAAAAAGCATAGGTAGGTCTAGCCGTTTCGAAGATACGGGGCAAAAAGTGACACAAACGGTAACTCACTTTTTAAGAGAACGGAGCGTCCGATATTAGTAAATTAAAAAAAAACATTTTGATCAAATTTTTATGAAGGCAGGTCGAGCGGTTTCGGAGATCTAGTAAAAAAAAAGTGAAAAAAGATGCCATATTGCGGTCAAAAATGATCATTAGACATATGCACATCAAATTATCAGATATTTTATAGAGATTTAACAATAAGTATAAATTTTGTTTACATTCCGTATGGGTTCATATGGGTTCCGTACCAATGTTTATCCGTTAGACGGCGACGCGGGGCCTGCGCGCTTCTATATTTCGTCTCTATACAGTTAAAGCAGTACGATTGCTTTGAACATCTTTTTTCAATCTTCTAATTTTTTTTAAAAAAAATCAAAATCAAATTCAAAAATCAAAAATCTAATTTTTTCAAAGTAAATTATTTTCAAAAATGTTAATCTTTTAAAAAAAAATGTTGGTACGGAAAGTTCCAGCAATTTGCCTTAAGGCACGATGCCATGCGCCCCACTAGTTTCAGTTCGGTTCGATTCGAGTTCCGGTTCGTAAAAACAAGCAGATTGGTTCCGGTTTGGGTTCGATTCAATCCTATGTTTATAATAATACATTGAAAAGATGGAAATTTCCCAGCAGTGCACATTTCAGATAAAAATCTGTTCGTTTATCACCATTTTTCTTCACCCACATATGGAAATTTTAGATCACAACAAACTTATAAAAAAATATTAGCATTGGCCGCAGATCCATTTGTCCTACGGCGGTAAACTATGCCTATTCAGGCAATAAACTTCGCCAGTGATTACGTACGGTCACATTTCGCCAAAGATTATAAAAAAAAATAAAAAAACAATTTTTTTTTGCCGGAACTAGTTCCGGCCCAAAAAGGAAGTACCGTAACGATATTCCGCCTTTATATATCAATACGTTTTGTTTTAAGTCGAGGCCGTCATTCAGTAGAACAAACTAGAAAGTTTTAAAATCAATATGAGAAATTAGATATAAAACATATAGAGCTTACAGATAAATATGAATAATAATTAGTAACACAAATACACTGCACAATTATAAATCCAGGTTATTTGAACATTTAAAAATATAAATGAGATTAGTAGTCTACACATAGATGTAGCAGATAATAATGCAATATTGAAGTAGTAGCTGATAATGTAGTTCTAACTTATCATCTCAGTTTATAGTTTTAAATATTCGTAAATTATTGATAGCCTCGATTTATGATTGTGTAAAGATGTGGTGCAATATATGGTATTTGTTTTAACTATTTGTAAGAATTTATAATAAAACAATCCTATGGTTTATATCCATTTTTGTTAAAATTAATTTTAAAACTTCATTGCTTGTCTCACTGGATTACGATCTTAAAGCAAACCGACACACATTTCCGATTTCCAGTGTCAAAAATTCACTCTCGCACAGAACTTTTCACCAGAAACTTTTGCTGAGGTAATAATAAGTCGATTGGCTGTTTTCAACTCTAAATATTAAGTCAGATTTGACAGCATTAGATCTGAAAACGAATTGAAACATGGAACTCATACATATAAGCAATCACCAAACTTCCATTCTCACTCATTTGGTGGACAGGAAAGAAATAATAAATTACGTATTATTACTTTTGATTTATTTATGTATGAGCTACAAATACGGTATCAGAAAATTAATAGCCTACAATAATATTGAGAATTTCCAACAAAATTGTGAAGTAAATGAAAGTTTTACTTTCTATTAAGCTTATAATAAACAAATGTAAAGTATTTGCCATTTCACATGGTAATAAAAAGTGTCATCAATAAATGAATGTCAAAAAAGGCCATAATTCATGTTAAAAATTAGTAAAGAATATGATCAAGCAAGAAGTCAGGAATTGGAATTTCAGACAATTCTTCAACTTCAATATTCTTTTAAATAGTCAGTCATCTTATCAAGTTTCTTTCTTCATATTCCGTGGGATTCGATATGAGCTTGAGGCCCTAAGAGATTTCATTCTTCTACAAAAACTTGTTACTTCACGCATGAGTGATAACATTTTGAGATCATATTCTTTGCTTGATTTGAAACTTGCAACATTTGATAAAATTTTCAGTTTCATCCATACTCGGCATGAAAACCTTTTCCAAAAAGAAAAATTTCATTAAAATATGGCTTTTTAAATGCAATAAATCACATCTAGTGTTAACCAATAAAAGTCTAGTAATCCCCATATCATATCTAATAAATGAAATATATCTCTTGGCCGTTGTAAGTAATACTTGTACAATTTCAATACATATAAAAGTTACAAATCAAATTCTATAACATAAAATACAAAGAATAATGATACATAAAGAATAAACAATGGTTAAGAAAATAATGTGAGTCCTTAATGTGTGAAGTAGTTAAAATAAAATGACAAGATAAATAAAGGACAAACATTTTATTAAAATATCGCTGCAAGATCTCCAAGCAATAATCCTGTGTCTGCTTTAGTTTTTAATAACGACCTGCAAATAATGTTGTTATAATAATTTGAATAATATATCTTTAATACGTAAGACCTAAAAAAAATCTATCATCAACCACAATAAAATGTTTATGTATGAAGACACGACATTTAATAAGATTAAATTATTCAAAAATAAATATATTGAATGATGCCATGTAATTTATGGCCACCTTTGAAACTACTACTTACGAGGGGAGTAGGAACGTGATCGTGAACGTCCACTTCTTCGTCTTCTATAATGTGGAGAAGGACTGCGTCGGTCTCTATAGCTATTACCCCATCCACCACGATGTCCACCTCCATAATAATCACTAAAAATTTAAGCAGACAATGTTATAAATTTTTACAATTAAATGCAAAACAAATATAAAACTAGTTAAAAATGTCAATAGACATAATTACTATTTCATCATTCATGTTCCTATTCAGATACATTACTAGCAAGATGCTTTTTTAATGTATAAAAGTGTATTAGTAGTTAATAATAATTTTTCATAGTTTTTTACTATGCAACACAAAACGGAATTTAATTTGCGTTATGATTTGGCTATTAAATCTATAGCTTCAAAATATGCTGAAATTACTAAGATTTTAACAATTTAAAACCAATCGAAAGTAAAGATTAGCCAATACATTATGTAAATGTGAATTATGTATGTGAATAATTTGCAATATATAATTTAATAAATATTTAAAAAAAAATCAGTAAGTTAAGAACTATTACTCACTCTCTATCACGATCTCTTGCTCTTCCTCGACTATTGCCCCATCCACCTCTATCCGACACACTGAAAAAATTAATGTAAACTTAAATTACAAATTACACAATCACATATCATATAAACACATATTCATATGTACTTATGATTATATGTATGTAAATATATACACACACTAATGTATAGTTAATTTAAAAATATTTGTTTGACGAGGCCTTTAATAATAATCAGATGAAACTGATACCATTCTAAAACTCATCAAAAATTTACTGTACTGATAATTTACATGTAATGCAAAATGCTATAGTTGCCTTACATTTTGTCATAATTGTATCAGAATCACATTAATTACGATTATACAGAGCATTTGTAAAAAATTTTTACGAATGAATGACTTACTATGTTGGCTTTCCCATATATATTCCAGGTGTAGGGGTATGTGCTCTTTTCGTTATAGAATAGTCAACCCGAATTCTTTTACCATCTAACTCCATTCCTGAGCACTGTTCTTTGGCAACTTTGGCATCCTCTTCATTTTCAAAATATACAAAACAGAAGCCCCTTGAGCGCCCAGTCTAAAATAAAAATATATAAAACGTAAATAAATGTGAATAGTTATAGTCACCCCTCAAATAATAATGCACATTTTATTGATGCATCTTTCATTTTACATAATCATATACTTTTGATCATATACTTTTGAAGAAAATTCAAAATTTTTGAAGTGTTCTGAACTCAATTTAGTTACAATGAATAGGGAAATGTATTATTTGGATTATTACTTGCAGTACAAGTCAGATGAAATTTTATTTAAAATTTAGTTTTCACAATTTTTTAAATTATATATAACTGACAAAATTCGCTATCCTTAAAATTTTAACCAAATATTAATTTTCTAAAAAAAGCTTTTATACCTGTGCATCTATGACTACAACTGTTCTTTCCACTGGTCCATATTTAGAAAAAATATGATTTATTTGACTTTCACTAGTATACACACTCAATCCAAAAACTCCAAGGCACCTAGATTGTGTTGGATTTTCCTGCAGAGGAAAAATTAAATTACTCTATTCTCAAGTAATCAATATTAATTTAACTATGGGGCTAATGTTACTTTATCATTTACAACATATTAATTTTTAATTAGCGCTAGTTCTGCTGACATTCGTAAATAGCTGAGTCTATTACAGGTTTCAAAATAAAACCCAATGTAAAATGACATATATATTGATATGAATTGCCAGCATGAAGTGCTAATTTATATAAATTAAATTGAATAAATTATGGGAAAGGGAGATAGACAAGAAACAAAATAAAAATAAAATAAAAAAAAACATCTATCTCCGATAAAAAATTGCTTTGGATCAGATTCAAAGAATCAAATACAAATCAATTTTCTGAAAAAAACTCACTCTACTGCCTACATGTCGGCGTCTTTGTGACATTGGACTCCTGGAATGAGACCTTCTCCGGTCATAACCCTTTCCCCTGGGAGAATAAGATCGGGATCTTGAATGTGAATATCTATTTCTATAACGGCGAGGCGATCTGGATCTACTGTGACTTCTATATCTGCGCCTACTAACAAAACAATATTAATTAGTACTAAAAGTATTAAATTTTGATTCTTATTAAATTTTTAAAGTTTGCTACTGAAACATTTGATAATACGGAATGCTAAATTCACAAGCATCAAGTAACTATGTCATTTTAAAATTTGAAACATCAGATCTAATCTAATTAATAAGTGAGTTCAATATTTTTAAAATACATTTTGCATTCCAACACAGAATTACTACAATTCCTTTCCCTGATTTATCAAAACAGCAGTGCTATTTAGAAATTGCTATCTCAAATATTTCAGAAAAATATATAACAATTAGTAATACCTTTCATTGGGTTCACGTTCACGATATGAGTTCTTACGTTGCCTTTCTGGACTTGGACTCCTGTAACAAAAAATGTTATTTTTAAGTAAAAATTTAAGCTTCTAAAAATTAATCTACTATTGAAACATAACAAAAGCAATATGCAAACGTTGAGCACAACATACAAAATGTATTTTACAAATTTAGTAAGAAATTGTTAAAAAATAACATTATTGCATTATTTCATCTAAATAACAACAAGTGATACAACAAAAGCAAATTAATGATATGCTTGATTTTATTGAGAATTACTTCAATTAAGCCTCTAGGTAATATAATTGGCAAGCACTGGTTAGATTATAAGTCATTTAGTGTGCCATCAGACAAAATGCTCGATAACAGATGTTGATTTGACAACATCAACATTCATAATATTGATTAAAAAATTAAAACAAACCTTGAATAGCTCTTTTTCATAGATTTCATGGCAGGAGCAGAAGGTGAACGACTACGGGATTCTCCCATCATACGCCTACGAGAAGGTGATGTGCCATGATCTATTTTCATATCCGTACTGCGCTCACGCGTGAGACTTCTCTGTGAATTGATTCAAAAAATTCAACAAAATTAAGTATGAATCGAATCGTATTGACAAAACAAACGAATATGATAATGGCGTCGTCTCCTACTAAAAAAAAACAAGATAATTCCGCGCGATTATATGACATAAGTAAAACAATATTTCAAACATTGTAATACCTTATACATGCAACTAATTATCTAAAATTAACAATTTATTTCATTTGAAGAATAGCACTCTGTTGCAATTAAAATGGTATTTACTCACCTCGTGGTCGCTCATTGTTATGTACGGATTAGTAACTATTTTGTTTTAAAGTTTTTAACGTCAGAATAAAACAACAATATTCACTGCATATAATAAATTACACTCGATCATTTACAATTAAAACTGTAATCCTGTTTGCAACGCACACTGTAGCGATTTCTAGATAGATGCCGGATTTATTAACACAGATCAAAAAGATAAAGAGTAGAACCTCTTGACGCTTATTTTGTAGTTACAAAAAGTATCCGCTTTCAACACTGGCGCTTCAATCGAATCTATCATAGATTCCATAGATAAAAGAATAGATACCATGTTTATATCTAAAAGTCGGCTAATTTTAGCGTTTACTCCTAGACAATATAATAATTTGGCGTTTACTTTTCAATAATATATTATAATAAATGATTTTTTTCAATTTTATTTTTTATTTAGTCATTTTAAATAAGTGCGCTAAGGCAGCTGTTAGTTAAAGTATTTGCTCTATGGCGTATCTAACCGTATATACCTCTTTTACCTGTGGCCGTACCTTCCCATAGATTAGACCTTTAGACTCATTTATAAATGTACAATGAGTTAATGAAATAACAAAATATTTAATTCAGTATAAACAAATTTTATATGATGCCTCTGCATATTACGTTGTACGAATTATACACATCTTATGAAAAATGGGTTAGTACTCATCCGCATTTGGTAAATGATGCTGAAACTATAGTAAAATGGCTCTCTTATTTTATTGCGGGAAGAATGAACACTTCAAATGTAGTAACAGAATTGATATATTCTCTATCTAATCTCTTAGTATTGTTCAACGACCGTATAATATATAAATCAAGAAAGATTAATTACAGACCTGATGAAGTTACAAAGTTGAAACTATTGTTGACAACTGTTGAATATTGTGAAGTATTTATTGAATTATCAGTTAAACGTTATTTAGGAGACAAAGCAAAATGGATTGTTATTGCCTTATTACAAATTTATAAATGTCTAGGCAGACTTATTTTATTATATTATTATGATGAAGAAATAATTCAATCTCCTCCTGTACCCCCATTACAACGTCGCAAAGAAATAGAAACAACAGAACAAGTAATATCGGAGCCAACTTTATCATTTACTCTGAAAAGATCAGGACGAATTTTAAGGAAAGTTGACACAGCACCTCCAAAAGAGCTCCGAACATGGAATCCACCACAAAGCACTGAAAAAAGAAATTGCAGGGTTAACAAAGGATCGCTGACTACTGCTGAGACTTTGTATATTATAAAGCCATTGGCACATTTGGTTGCTATGCGTACTTTTGGAACAGAGTCTTGGAAAATGTGGCTTATATCCCTGGGATTTGATATTTCCAGCTTACGTCTCTTTTCCAAAGCCACGACTTCTGAAACTAAAGTAGTATTGACAAAGCAACAAAGAATTGAACTTTCGAGAAGATGTTTAATGTTATTTATGTATTTGATGAGATCTCCATGTTATGATCGATATACAAAAGATGCAGTCATTTCAGTATTAAATGGAATAGGTAACAAAATTCCTTTTGCAAATTCCGTTGTAGTTCCAATATTGCAGTACTTACCACATTGGCAGAAAACATATTTTTATATGTGGTCTGGTTGATTTATTTATGGTCCATTAACAAAATTTTAACAAATCATTATTATTTCTTTTATACATATAGTCAATTATATATATATATATATATATATATATATATATATATATATATTAACAGAGTCTAGTAATCAGGCATACAATCTATAAAAAACATGAATTTCTTTCTTTCAAAAATGTATTTTACATCTATATGTTTCGGCTATAATCCTAGCCTTCATTCAGTCAAAAAATTAGTTAATCTTGATGTTAAACTAGACTAACTTTTCCACTGAGTGAAGGCTAGGATTACAGCTTAAACGTATGGATGTAAAATAAATTTTTGAAAGAAATTCATGTTTTTTATTGTTTTATGCCTGATTTCTAGACTTTGTTAATACATATGTCAACATCAAATTCAGAATTATACAACATATATATATATATATATATATATATATATATATTGTTTCTTTTCCGAACAGTAAATCCAATAATAAAAAACAATTTGTTTTTTGAAGATGTTTAATACGACGTTTCAGAACTAGGTACGTTCCATCATCAGGTTTATTCTGTCAAATACAATGTTTTTTAAAAATATTGAATAACATTAATTAATGATGGTCAATACAGATTTAATCTGTATATATATATATATATATATATATATATATATATATAATTGACTATATGTATAAAAGAAATAATCATTAATGTTATTCAATATTTTTAAAAAACATTGTATTTGACAGAATAAACCTGATGATGGAACGTACCTAGTTCCGAAACGTCGTATTAAACATCTTCAAAAAACAAATTGTTTATTATTGGATTTACTGTTCGGAAAAGAAACAATCAATATATTGAAAATATCCAGGACTTATCTATTGAATATATATATATATATATATATATATATATATATATATATAGCCAATAATTAAACAAATTTAGTAAAGAAAAAGGTCTTTACTTTTTTTAAATATAATATGTAATTATTAAAAAAAAATCTTGTTATATTATTTTGTGTGCACTGAAGAAGGGCCAAATCAAGACTAAAATTGTTTGCTACTATAATAAAGACCTTTTTCTTACAAAGTTTGCTACTATATATATATATATATATATATATATATATATATATATATATATATATATGAGTAAGTTCTTGTGGGGCGATACATCAAAAAATAAAAAGCAAAGATTTATAAATTAATCTTTAATTCCAAACGTTTCTACATTCAATGGATATTAACATTGGTAGGTTAGGGCTTTAGTCTAAAGCCTCGGAGCTTGCACATTTCACAAGTCGTGGCAGAAATTACTTAATGTTACTCACATTTTTGTTCAAATAAAACTATCATTTTTCTTTTTACATCTTACAAAAAATGATAAAAATTTATAGTGTGGACAAGTTAGATGTATAAATATTAGTGCTAATTTCTAGTGTTGTGTACACATCCTAGATGTAACCTACCAACATTAATATCCACTGATGATGACATTAAATTGAATGTTGAAACGTTTGGAATTAAAGATTAATTTATAAATCTTAGCTTTTTATTTTTTGATGCATCGCCCCACAAGAACTTACTCATATATCTCAACATCAAAATTATATATATATATATATATATATATATATATATATATATAATATATATATATTACGTTACAGGGTGAGTATAAAATTATTTCAATATATATATATATACTACTGCATTAAAAGCTGAATGTACAATATTATATTTTTATTTAGAATACTTGATTTACACTAATATAAACTTAAAGAGAAATTATGCATAAAATTTGTGTCAATTTTGTACACATAAGAAAGTAACTCATAACTTCATTTTGAGTTTAATCTAATTTGTAATTATTATTGCGGAGTATATAGGTAATCATAGGTTTTAGGGTTTGTTTTCTAGTCAAAATTGACGTTTTGTATAATATACACATTCCATTTATAGATTATAATTGTTTGGTGTATTTTTATATGTAAAATATAATTAAATATATTTGATTGTTTTATTTCAGTTTGAAATAAATATTATCACAAATAATTATTTTCATTAATTGGTAGGGTCAACATAATAAAGATGGCAATACTTGAATGTAAGCATTTTTAAAATAAATAAGTATTATTTTAGGCATTTTTTCATATTAATAAATTTGAAGAAGTAAATCATGAGAAATGGATTGTAAAAAATCTCTGACTGGTTTGGTATGTCTTGTTAAGAAATTTACTGATGAGTTAAAAATATTTGGCCAAAACAAGACGATTTTTTACTGCTTTATTGCGCACTTAATTTATGCTTATTGTATTATAAATTTGAAAGAGAAATTTCTACCTCTAGGTTGCTTAATAGATTAATAATCATCACTATCTTCATCTTGTGATGCCATAGTTTGCTGTGCTGTGGCTTGTTGTAATGTTTGCCATTGCACTTGATCAGCTAAAGCTTGTTCTTCTCTTGCCCTCGCAAAAAGTTCCTGTTGTTGGCGAAGTAGTTCTTCTTCTGGAATTCCTAAATTTTCAAGTCTAGTGCTCTGCCTGCGCCTTTTTGCTGCTACTGCTTTACAATCTTTCAATACAGCTTCTGCTTCCAATTTGTAATCACTAAAACCTAGTCTATCTAGAGCTGTAAAAAGTAATTCATAATATAACATTACATCATTCATAAAAACAACAATAAATGCATTACCCAGAAGTACATGTTCTGCACTAATAGTTTTCTTATTATGCTGATTACACACATCATTTGCTTCAGAACTAATTAGATGAATAAACTCTGTGCAACAGTTCAATATTAGCTCACGACTTTCGGTTGCAACTCTTACACAAGGCACCTGGAAAAAGTATGTAAACAATAAGAAAGTTTTCAGGAAAAGTCATAAAAATGTGCAATTAAAAATATCTATAAATAACAATCAACAAACTACAATTATTACAAATGATGGATTATGGTACGACAATAATTTGTATGGAATCATAGGGTGATATCAAACGATTTGATATATCGTTAAATTTTATAATTTGTAGCTGTATTATATATTTAAATAGGTTTTATTACGCAAAACATATTATTAATTGCACACAATATTTGAAAAACATTGTAAATGCATCAATCCTGTTTCACACAACGAAAATAATCATGTAGGTAAACTTTTTTTAATTTTTTAGTTCATATACTGCAACTGTTTTAGAATATTGCATACATACTTAAAGTGTTTTATTTAGAATAAAACTTTTGAATATTTAAAGTGTTTTATTTAGAATAAAACTTTTGAAAAAGACTGTTACGATAGTGCAATTAATTGAATTTTATAACACGACTTAAGATCCTTACCAGCTCTTTTATCATTTTATTTATACTTGCTCTAGGCAATGTCAATTCATCATCTTCGTTTGGCGCTGGACATAAATCATCACTAGGATTATCCATTGAATTATCTCTAAATGAAATTAATTAAAGTATATACGTATATTGGTAAGTACATGCAATATTATACCACTGTTGTCTTGAAATTAAAATTTTATTTTACCAACCAACTGTCACAGATGTCAAATACACAAATCTTCATTCAGAACATTAGACCATAGATAAACCTTAGATCATTCACATTCTAGACTTTTGCGTTAAAAGAGCTAGCGAAACATGCGAACACGAGGCGCGCTTAAATTGCATTCAAATTTAATTGTTAATGATCATTGTTTATTTTTTTAATTTAAATTTCGCATTGCAATGCTTTTGTGATTTATTATAACACTATAATAATCTAAGGATAATATAAATAATAATATTTTATTATATTATTTGGCTAAAATATGTGCAATATAATAAATCAAAGCAAAATATAAAACAACATCAATAAATGTATATATAAATCACATGTAATCAATCAATAATATCTTTGTAGAGTAATTTATTGCAACAAAGTTTTAGAGTAATAAAACTTTGGAATTTGTGTTTAGAAGTGTTTGGATGAGAGCTACAAAAATTCTTGGAAATGAAGTCGACAATGTCTAACTTAAATATTTACTAAACAGCTACTTACTTCTTTTAATATAAACCCATCATTATTCACAGATGTTAAGAAAATATTCTCGCTGATGAATTAAACACACATAGACAGAGGATATATCTTCAGTATCTATAAATATCACACCTTCTGATTTCTGACCGAAGTACGGAGTTTTTATATCTATATGGCCTATTATACTAGATAAATTTTATCTTATACTAGATAAATTTTATCACCCTACTAAAATTAATATAAAACAAAAAGTAACATTTTAGTCCGCTGATGTCCCATATTTTCTTATATTTTGGCACAAAATATTACAAATGTATAATTTAGTATAAGTAATGCAGATTTGATTAAGAAGCATATAATGATTATATATATATATATATATATATATATATATATATATATATATATATATATCTGTTTGCCAACATATATATATACTTATTAATCTAAAAGTAAATATTTTAATTTCAAAGAAAGTGTATACAAAAATATATGATTCATGGCTAAATTAAGATTAATCACAAGCTAATAATGCTATGAGTAATTAATTATTGAAAATAACAGATAAAATTTAGATTAAAACTTGTTATTAAGTGCAGAGAAATTCTATACTTGACATACAATCTAATAAATCCATATTCACTCATCACCACAAATCCACAGCCAGCTTGACTAATTATTAGAAATATTTGTTACATCAAAATTAAACTACCAATAGTATTATCATTACCAAATTACTATAAACTAAACTACCGAATTGGATATATCTTTACAAAATATATGGAAAATATTAGACTAAATTTAGGTTTTGCAATTATTTTTTTTATGTTCATTTTTATACAAGCTGAACTTCACAATTAATGTTCATATAACTATAAATATACATATGAAATATAATAATAATTATACATTGCATAGTTTTAAAATTAGATTTTTCAATCTAATTTTGGTCATTATTCATTCTTGTATTTATCTAATTTAAACATTTTGCAATCAGTCCTGTTTGGATCAATAGTTTGATGCTTACATTTTTTTGAGAAAAAAAAAGTTAGAATAATTATGCTTCTATTCTCTGAATGCAGACTGAAGAAATAGGTTGCAAATGTATTTTTTAATTCTTTATTAGATTATCAGAAAGAAAAATGGTACTGATATTCTCTTTGCATGCAAGTTATATTTATGATTAAATCTCTCTTTCATTCCTATTTGAATCTTGACAAATTATTACATTCAACTATACATGTTAACCATGGAACCACTAGTTCCAATTAAATATGATCATATCCTTTTATATATAAAATAAATATATGTATGTACAAAATACACTGTATATATATATACATATACAAATTCATTCTGAGATAATTACTTCAGTGAAATATATCAATCAACAAACTTTTATAAAATATTATGATTTTTAATGCCCATTACATAAATGATCATCTTTATGATATTACATACCATTTTATTCATAATATATAGTATATTTAAGTACTTAGTTCCTATATTTTACAATTTGTCTAATAATTTTCTATTAAACTTTACAGACATGACTCCTGGATTTATAAAACATTTCCAAAATAACCTTTAATTAAATGTAAAACAATAAGAACGATCCATGTGCAATTTGTAATATTTGATATCTATACCAGAGATGTGATAAATAAATAATTGTTGATTTATCTTATCATTATTGTTTGTTGATCATTATTAAGTATTGTGTTAACTTTACAATGCGCTTCCAATAAAATACACCTAAGTCTGTTTTTACACGGAGATTGGTTCCAGAAGAATCCGTGTAAAAAAAAAAACGTGTAAAAAAAGACATTGACCTTATACAAAAATGGGTGATTCGTTCCTAATCTCTAAAACCTATTAAAATTGGTGAAAAACAAGAATTTTTAAGAACAAGAATTAAATTAGTGCTATTCACATTTGCTTTGACCAGTAAAAATTGTTTGTACGCGCTAAAGGGGAATTCACTTAAATCTTTAAGCTAGTGTTTGCAAACTATCGATACTATCGATGGTTTCAGACTTTTTTCTTTCATAAATACTTTTTTGTGAATGAACATACTTCGCAAAAATTTAATTTGACAAAAAAAATTTAGGTACATAAAATTTCAAGTCGTGCTAAATGGAATAAATTCGTGTAAAAAATTTAAAAATATTCAATTTTCAAACCGTGTTATATCAAAACCGTGTACAAAAAGACCGTGTAAAAACAGACTTAGGTGTAATTCTATTTTAAAATAATATGTTCAACATAGGATCTGTTATAAAGACTAATTTTAATGTTTTAAATAATACATATTCTATTGTTGCAGATTTTTGTTAATAACTATTCCCTATATGTAATAATTAATTACATATATGGATAACTAAAATATATAGAAAATTAATTTAGCAAATATTTAATACAATTTTGTAGATCTATAACTTGGCTCATATATCTGATGGCCAATTCAATGTTGATCATATCCCTGATATATATTATATCACTAATGATATACCAAAATAGAACTCGCAGGAATACTCAGTACTATAGTCGGAAATTAAAATCAAATGACTAAGAAAACGGAATTTGTTATAAACTGCATGCGGTAAACTTTAGTTTACAAAATACTCAACTAATATGTACAATATGTACATATTAAAAATATTAAAATATTCAAATTATCAATTAAATATTTATATATTTCATAATATAGCCTACCTAATATGATAAAGGACTAATACATTTGTTACATGCTAAAATGTTAAAGAAATTTTTGATTTCCTGTTTATGAACAGTAAGTCCATTGTATTTAAATCTTGTGATATTTTTTTTAATTATTAATTTCTATCTAATATTTTTTCTGATATAATTTTATCTTTTATCATACAATATTATATAATATTGACTTCTTTCTACCTAATAAAAGCAACATGGATATTTATTTCAGAGAAACATTATATTCAAATTAGTATGAATATTGTTATGAAACTTACACAACCTCAAATTTCTTCAAATGTTTCATCAAATTTCCTAATTAGATAAAAAGTTCAATGAAATAATGAATAAATATTTATACAAGTGAAGATATGTTTTCAATACACAATTTTAAAATAAGTTATTAAAAAATGCTAAAATATTTAACACTTACATGAAGATAAAGTGATCAGCAATCAGTACTATCATCTGTATACAATTTTCTGCCCAGTTGAATCGTGGGAGTTTGCATCGGTGGTAATGGTGCTTGAGCTTTGGAGAATGACTGTTGTTTGCACACTATAAAAGAAAATTAACATATATGTATATATGTATGATGTATTTCTTGTTTTTTTTTTTTTCAAAATAAAGAATATTAATTTGTAAATATAGAAAAACAATTTTAATTTAAAAATAGATTTTCTGTGCAAATTTATGTTTTAACGTTTTCGTCTAATATAGAGTAGAAATTGTTTTATTATTCATACCCACCTGAATTTATTTGTTGTTTAATATGGTTCTTACTATTATATGTCTTGCGAAGTTCACAAAACTGAATGGGCAAAGGAAAATCTTTTACAGTATGGAACATGTCTGAAAAACGAGTTTCTAGATCCAATATAACAGCAGACATATTTCCGTTACTACCATTGCAGTTTCTCATTGAACTATTGCGAACTGGTGGTACTGGAGCAGCATTGTTCTGATTAAAATAGAAATTTATAGTTTTCAAGCATTATAATATAATAGATTCGGGAAATAAGTTGTTCAGTATATATTCATTTTAGATTACTAGCATAGATAAAAAATAAATCTAATATAAAAGTGTTATTACACAGTTGTTGATATTAATACATTATTTCATTTGTCGGATAGATAAATTTGACTTGGACATCTTCATATAAAATATAAATTTTGGACAAATTTTGAATAAGTTTCTTACATTACTTCTCGAGTTTAAAAAATATTTATTTTATTTCTGTAAGACTATGTTTTATATTATCTCACCGTAGTAATGGTTCTCGAAGCTACTGCAGCTGCTGGAGGTTGGGGCGCAGGTTGCGTGCGATGCGGAGGTGGTGGCGGTGGAACGCCCATTGGCGTATTATTTACTCCCGAGGTTAAATTGATCATTGGCTTGCCAGGGCTCGAATTTTGCACATTTTGTTGAACCGCAACTGACTGTTTGCTCGGTAGAGCGGGCTTAATCTGCTGTTGTTGATTGTTATTGTTATTGCCGTTATTTGCGACGTTACTACTTGTCGAACGATTTGGTGGTGGCGGCGGCCGATTTGCTGGGGGCCTTATTGGTGGAGGTACGCTTGGACGGCCTATAATTTACATTGAAATTCAAAACATCATAGTTTAAATTATTAACGTTAAAAATCTGGACGATTGTAAGTAATATAATTTAATTTTAATTTTAACGTAAAAATTCGATTTTATGGAACGTTTAGCGATAAATGGGCAAAAAGAAAACGCAGATACAAACATTAACTAATATACATGATTGCCGACTTACCTGATTGCGGAATTGGTGGAGCTGGTTTCATTTTGATTGAGTCCTGAGACTGATGAAATCCTGCGGGCAAACCACGCAGGGTTCCAAAAGGTGTCAATCCCGGAGGCGTCACTGGCGGAGTTCTATTTATGAGACAATGAAAAAATATATACAATTACCATTGGTTAATTTGTTAGAAATTGACACATATTGTACATATGTATTTGTATATCAGCATATTCTTGCATGCTTGAAATAGTTACGACGTTTGTTAATTAGATGCCATTAGACAGTTTTTATTAATGAACACATCTAATGATTTACATACTTATATGTACACACACATACACACACACATATATATATATATATATATATATATATATATATATGTATATGTATATGTACAGTGTACACATGTAAAAGTATTTGTGTGTTTGTATTGAAATATAAAAAAATCAATGATAAAGTATTAATGCGCAGAACAAAGCAAAAAATAAAATATACAAAAGAAGAAATAAAGTAGATACAGGAAAAAAACAATCTCATGCACAGGTGTAGGAATACGGTAATAAATGATTGTAGCATATCAGGGCTCTAAATTACGAAAGAGCATTAAAATTATAGCAACAAAATTTATTTAAAAATGCGTTTTTAATTTTCAATTTTTATGTGTCTAATAAAACTCGTAAATAATAAGTTTAAAAAAAATAGTTGTACCTGGGAGACTTCATGCTGTGTGCCCTCATAACACTAGGTTTACCAGTCGTGTTTAAAGATGGAGGTTTAGGTGCAAGATTTGGTTTTCCGTGATTTATAGTAGTTTTTGGATTCGACAAGCTTTGTAAGCTTGCGCTACCGTCTGCGGTAGATAACTTAGTATTGTGGTTCAATGAACTTAAACTTGCATGTAAATTAGATTTATTAGCAAACAATGTAGACTGATTCGGCATATGAGCGTTATTTTGACTCAAATTCGTCACAGAATTGGTTTTTGTATTTTTCATTAGTGTTGAACTATTATAGTTCAAATTTGATGACAAGTTTGCCATGGATCCTGCATTCGAAGGCTTTGTTGGAGAAAATCCAGCAATAGTTGAATCCGAAGCACTCTGTTATAAATTTCAATTGATATTATAACCAAAATAATAAAGATTCATTAAATACAAACATTAATTTTCACAAACTCACGAGTGGCATTTGCGTTTTTTGTACAGGAGGTTGCGGAGGCGGGCCACGCTTTACTTCGGTATTTGGTGCTTTAACAAAGCCTTCAACATTTGACTTTGTTTTTGTGTGAAGTGAAGAATTATTATTCACAGCTTTGGCACCTAATGATGGGCTAGTTTTTTCCATTACTGCTGGCTTGCAGCTTTGATCCGTCTCTTTGTTCTGCATCGAAACTACAAAAACAAATAAGATCGATAAATGCAATATAGATTTATACACAAGCATAAACATGAAAACTAACCAGAATATTATTAAGAAATAGAATTAAAATATGATTATTACCGATTTTATTATGACTTAAGCGATTGACTTTCTGTGTGAAACTGAATATACGCGACGTACAACCAAAAAGAAGACGAGCTTTAAATATTTAAATTAAATAACTTAAATAATAAATTACAAAATATTATTAGGCATAATCATGCGATCGTTTATTTGATTTTAGCATTCTCATTCAAGCTCTGCCATTATGAATAGTTCTGAGATTACTAAAAGCTGAGACAAACAAATGTAGTAAGCATATATTTATTATATACTAGTATAAGATTAAATTTCTCTGTGATAATATTGATATTATTTTATGTGAAACTATTTGTGATTGTGCTATTGAATTCTACAACAAACGATAAGAATTCTATAACAATTTAATTGAGCATATATGAGAAATTAATAAATAAATATATCATATATATATATATATATATATATATATATATATATATATATATTGATTGTTTCTTTTCCGAACAGTAGATCCAATAATAAAAAACAATTTGTTTTTTTTTTTTATAGATGTTTAATAACGACGTTTCGGAACTAAGTACGTTCCATCACACTGTTGTTTTAGTCTTGTGAGGTCGTAACATCTACAAATATCCTCAAAAAAATTGAGTGTTTTTAACAACAAATATTAGTGATATGGATATATAAATTATTACAGAATAAACCTGATGATGGAACGTACCTAGTTCCGAATCGTCTTTATTAAACACCTTTTTTAAAAAAAAAGAAAATTGTTTTTTATTATTGGATTTACTGTTCGGAAAAGAAACAATCAATATATTGAAAAAATCCAGGACTTATCTATTGAATATATATATATGTATATATATATATATATATATATATATATATATATATATATATATAGCAGAAAAATTTACAGCTGATTTTCAAAAAATTGTCCAGTGCTTGGATCGCTGGGGTCTATCAAAGTGCCCAATTAGCGAGATTTTACTTTATTTATAAAATATACCTTTTTTCTTCATTTTTTTAATTTATTTTTAACTTTCACAAAAAAATCCAATTTCACGTTTCAGAATGAATCACTTGAGACCAAAATTAAAAAAAAGTATGGCGTTTTCTCAAACCAATTTCAAACATTTAAAAACCATTCGATATAATTCGATAAGGACTCGCATTGATTAGTTTTGCGAGACGATCGGCCAAACCGTTTCTTTAGACTTAGCAGAAAAGTGCAAAAGTTTTCATCCACATTTTTGCGAAAACTTCCAAAACGATTTTGAGAATTTAAAAACCGGGCCGGACTGTTTCTTCATAACTAAACGTTGATTTTTTTTGTGAAATTTAACATGGTGATAAAGTTCATAATCTAAATGAACATCCTAAAATATTAGAGGCCTATTAAAAGTAGTTGATTTATAGAAATTCATTTTAGTTTGGAATAATGGACTAAGCTAGAACATACAAATGTATTTATTTACCATAGTTAATAAAATTACGGATATTAGAAGTAGGATATGTATTCGAAAACACATTAATAAAATTTAGTGAAAACAAAAACTCTATTTTCGAACAACTAAACAGAGTATCTAATTAACACGTATCAGGAAGTTCATGAAACTTCTCATTTACTTATATACTTCGACGTTTTGAGTATAAAGGATATCCCCTTCTTCAGAAACTTTGAATGATTAAAATTAGAGAAGTTAAAATAAACACTCACCAATAATAACTAATATATTCTATAAAAATTATAATTGATATTACCTTGAGTAATAGATGTATGATTCAATGTATATTGGAAGGACTCAAAAAATATATATACAACATACCATGCAATTATGCATACTTTTTACCCATACCTTATATATTGCTAAATTTCATACCTTTATTTCGACTTCCCACGGGCTTCAACTTTGGTATACCATTAGCAAAAATACCTGCCAATGGCTGGCCATTTGCACCTAGACTAACAGATGAGTTGCTAGTTGAACTGGCATTCTGTATTTTAGTAATTCCACCAGGTGTGCTGGATGGTGTGCTACTCACAACCTTACCTAAAATGGGTATTTGGAACATGTTAAATTATTGTGTTATTACATATCAACTTATAACAATAATTTACTTGTGGATAGCGAAAACCGTAAATTTATTTAGTATTTTTTATATATTACAAGGATATATATATATATGGATATTGTACCAAACTTGTAAATTTTGATGTTGTTGATTCATAAATAAACTTTCTTTCTATTATTTACTAATTCTAGCTTTTCTACCAAATCTTTTTGTACTAAGTTCATAATGTCGTTAAATATATTTAACGACATTATGAACTTAGTACAAAAAGATTTGGTAGAAAAGCTAGAATTAGTAAATAATAGAAAGTTTATTTATGAATCAACAAATATTTTAAATAATTAAATGCTCTGTTTAAAATACACATTGAACATAAAATATAAACAAAATAGAGACAAATTTGCAAAGCTTGTTCACAGTAGTCTACTCAGATATAGAGCACAAGACCAAACATAAGTAGGAGTATATCAAATTATCACCTAACACTGGAGCACTTTTATCAACGGTCACTGTTTTTTTGAGCTTGGCTCCTTTGCGTATAGAATCCAGTAGTAAATCCCGACCATCGGCTGGAGGGTTGGATTTGAAATTATTTTTCCTAGCATCCCCCAGTGAAAACCCACCAGGGGGAGGAGGTGGTGGCATTGGCATTTTATTAGGTATTATCTGAAAAAAAAATTAATAATTTACTTATGTTATTAAGACAATTTATAGTTAAGTATTATTAGAAAAGTAAAATAATTACCGAAAAGTTAAATAAATATACTATTATATAAAACTTAACAAAATCTTAAAAATTTAAGACTATTGTAATCATTTTAGATAAAGATAAATTATATTAATGACTTTCACTGTTTTTTCAAATTTTTATGTAAAATCATCCTGGTTTATTTATTAAATTTATTTTTTTAAGACAATTGGCTTTATAAATAAGCATTTTGAAAAACTTTAGTTCATAGTGGATAGCAAGTAATACAAATATAATAGATTCAATAACATACTTAAGTAAACTATTTTAGTATAATGGCCTATATTTTGTGTATACTTTAAAACAATCAAAAATGGAATTTTATAGTTTCATATTTTTAACAAATATTAGTTTATATATTTTTTTTACGAAAAAATAGTTATATTTTATCATTTAACACAATATTTTCATAATCAAATTTGATTCATTATTGTAAATTAACTCATGACAAATTAAAAATAGACATTTTGAAAATTAGTGATAAACAACTTAAAAACTATTATATAAAATAGTATAATTCAAGTAATAATTTTAAATATTTTATATTTAAGAAAGTTTTATATATAATTTGATAAGTTAATAGAAATTATAGTTTAAAAAATATAACAAATCTTACCTTTCAATTACAAATAATACATTGCAATAGCTTATCATCGAATTAGTAGTATTGTTATCTTATTATGTGCTGGAACAAAATATCATATTCTTTCAAATTCGATTATCGTGTAATTCCATACGTGCAAACAGAGGAGTGTTCATCTTATTCACAAACGTCATTCGAAAAATTATCAGCAATAATTTATTCTAGTTGGCATCACTAGTGAAAAGTTTCCTTTAATATCACTTACACAGTAACTTTTTTTAACAAGTCCATTATTTTAGAATGTTTTGTGCACAGAACAGGACAACAAAAACAAATATTTTCGCTTCTTAAAACGTTCGAGGTTAAATCCATGGTAAATCTGACACAAGCATGTTCAAATCGACACAATATTTGGAATCATGGATTATGTATACATTCCGGATATGTTTTTAGTTACAAAAATGAACTTACCAAAATTAATATTTTATGGTATTCTTGATCACCCTGAAGCGAGAAGTTGTCACGAAATTACATTATGAGAGTGAAAATAGCCAAATACTCTATTTTCAATTTTTAAAATATTATATGATTTCGAATATTAATGATTTAAATGAAAAAGCTACTATATATTGCAAGTACAGTATACTTCAATTATATTTTTACAGTTATAAAATATTTTCAAAAGCCTAATGAAGTACGTGTGAAAAATATTATATTATTCATTTCTAGCCACAAAACATAAGTATACTGAAAAAATTCACGTACACTTATTAAGTATTCAATATTCCTTAACATGATGCCAGGTAACAGTCCTTTGCATTTTTGTGTCCAGGTTGCCTATACCCGTCTAATCAGCCAATTAAGATTACGAATGTATAAACATTTTTATTGTTACAAACCATAATTTCATTCTATTTGGCACAAAACCATCCAACATCTAAACCAGCAAACTATATAATTTAATCGTTTTATTATTATTATTGAAAATTTAATTATTTTTAAATTACCGCTTTTTCTAAAAATCATTAAAAACTTGAAATCTTTCTTTGCGTTTCAATGAAAAAGTTTTACATAATCAAAGTCCATAATTATTAAAAAGAGGTTGTCTCCAGTAGTATCATACTGTACGACCTACGCAAAGTCTGTGCGTTTCACATTTTTTAACATACATTTTTGATAATATGTTCATTAAAGGGACACAATTCGAATTTATTTTATTACTAAACTTTTTCAATTTTATATAATATTCTAAAATCTGTATTGAAAATTTAAGTTTCAAAATTCATGCATAAATTCAAATGATTTATTATTTTTAAGAATTGAATAGTACACAATTTTCAAAAAACTATAGTTTCACAATATTGATATTAAATTTCATCAAGATTTTGTAAAAGAATATATAATCATAACACTTTAAAAATTTACAAAATTTTTACATACATTTTTTAAAAATTCAAAACGATCATATATTTTTAAATATTTTAACTTTTTATATAGTTTGTATTTGATTTTTTATTTGTAGACTCTAAATTCCAAAAATATAAAAGTTTCTGCAAATTTTGATAATTTAATGATACTCTTGAAGTTGCTTGAAAGTTTTTCAAAATGTTTAGAAAAACTTGCAAGCATATTAGAATTTTCACTAAAAAATACATCTAAATGTTAAAGATTATTAATAATCCAATTAGTTCTGAAGCTAATAGTAAACACTCGGCTTCGATTTTTTATTGCGTTCGCTTACACTTACTCTACGGGAGGCAATTTATATTGGGCCTAGCTGTTGTTAGACATTTTTACAAACTGTTTTCAAAAAAAAAAAAAAAATTGAATTATTTGCGCGCGTATATGTATTCCTTATAGGAAAAAAATTGTCAGACTGGTAAAACAATCAGAAGCCAAGTAAAAATAACATATTTTTTATATAAACATCATGTGCGACATTTAACTTGATTACTATATATAATTTTATAATAATAACAAATGTCTTTCCCACAACCGCTTTGGATTTTTTATAAAGATTAGCTTGACCAGACGTGTGATTCATAATCTGGTATCTTGTTTATGAGCATATTCTTAAATGAATCACGCTTATGAGAATTGTTACCTCATATTTGAGAAAGTTAACGTCACTGTGCATTACTTTACAGATTATTGTTTATTGTTAAATGGGTGTGCCGCAAAGGCATAAACATGTGTTCTAAAACAAATAAATAATATTGGATTTTTTCACTATAACTCAATTTTCCTACAACTCTCTATCGATATGATTTAAACTCTATAATAGATAGAAACATTATTTTAAAATATTGCATCTAGATCAATAATTAATAATTTTTGTCTGTGAGATTCACTACTACTTTTTTTTAATATAGAATTAAATAATCCAAAAAAATAATAATAATGGCTATGATCATGCCTTGATCAATCTTATTAGCCATATATGAATACATATAAAATATTCTTATATTATTTTTTATGCGTTGTACCCTTCAAGCATTGAAAATGTGTATACATATTTTGTATCAGCATTATTAGATAGGATTTATCAGAAAACAGCAATCGTTTATTGCAAAAAATCTTTTTGATAACGTATCAGTATAAATACTTAATATGTAAATATTATATTTATTTATATTATTACAAATGAACGACGTCGCAATTATTATTTATTAACGGTAAAAGGTTCACGTTTTATAAGGTATGACCATTATACTTATTTATCTATGGGTATGACTCAATGAAGATGAATCATATAAATTAAGTAGCCTATAATATTTAAACTCTTTGGCGACTTAATGTGAACTGAACAATTTTGATGAAATAATTTGAAAATATCATGTAAAATTAATTCAATGAAATAATTTGAGTTTCATAAACTTCACATAAACTTCGCTTTTTTTGTTCCTTGGTTGTACAAGAAACGCGTATAATCAGCTAATTTACATGCGGACGATCTTGAACTACTCGAAGTAGGTGTTAGTCATCTTATATATATTGTATCAATTGTCATTTATATAGTATATGTGTTATAAAATGTAATAATAATAATCGAGCATGATCCATGAAGTAACATTATCTTCATTTTATAATTTTATTATAATAAAATAAAATTTATTATAATAAAAATAAAAACCGGCGGGTAACGTATGGGTCTAAACCCACTGGGTTATAAATTGGTCTATAATGGGCTTATAATAACCCGGTAGCCTGTAAATGGAACCAAACAGCTTGACCATTGTCTGACCCGTGCTGTATGGGTAATTTATTATCATTTTTATTAATTTTATTATTACGTAAAAGAGTAAAAAAATATCTATTGAAAAATCGGTCGTTTCACAAATACGATACGGCGATTATTTGTGCAAATTCACAAAAACGTGTGTAGGATACTCTTTCTTTTATATATGGTAGGATGTTTGCGCAATCTTGTGATCGAATTACGTACGTATGTTTCAGGGTATTTGCGCAAACATAATTTTGCACAAATAATTATATCATGAGGATTACATTAGAAAGTAAAAAAATATCTATTGGAAATCGGTCGTTTCACAAAAACGATACGGCGATTATTTGTGCAAATTCACGAAAACGTGCGTAGGATGTTTGCGCAAACTTGCTATCGAATTTTGTACGTATGTTTGAGAGTATTTGCGCAAACATAGATTTGCACAAATATACATATCATGAGGAAAGCCCATTTTATCTATATTATGTATTATCTACAAGAAGAATGTCTGGTTTTTACTTACTCTTAATAATGCGCAAATTTTGTGGCTCTAAGGAATATTTGCTTTTAAATTACTATACGGTATTCATAACGGTATCATATAGCATACTCACAAACACTGTACGTTTTATTTAAAAGAAAGCTTCAGAAAATACATCAGTTGTTTGGCATTTCCGTATTCAAACAGTGCGTCAACAGCCTAACAAAAAATAATATGTCAACATGACAGATGGGTGATGCACGGGTTAATAGTTAATAAATTAAATAATTAATTAATGAAACGGTAAATATTTAAGTTGTTATGCTTTTATATTTACGTATGTCAAATTCATGATGGAGCTAGAAAATATATACTTTAATAAAGGAGAGTATGTGGAAACGGTAATAATGATTTTCACGAATTTGTGAAATGTTTTATTCTCAATAAATAACATTTATTTTTTAAGGCTTCGGGAAATAAAGTATCAAGACAAACAGTGCTTTGTGGATCTCAAAATATAGTACTTCACGGAAAAGTAATTGTTCAAAGTGGAGCAATTGTCCGGGTGATTTGGCAAATGTAAGAGTGGGAAGATATTGTGTTATTGGGAAAAAAGCAGTTGTCAGGCCACCCTTCAAAAAATTTAGTAAAGGGTAAACATTTTTGCTAAAAATTAATATTATCTGGCAAACTGTACATTTTTAATTATACTTTCATCGATCTTCTTTCTTCTTTGGTCATCTTTATCTCTTTCGGAAGCCCATTGAATAATTTCATAGCACTCCAAATAGTGTTTTGCCTCGTTTTATTGGTTCTTGTTGTTTTAATCTTTGATCTAAGATTACAAAATCACCTTTGAATAGTATTGTTATGCTAGATGTATTACTGAACTCTTATATTTATATTGTAATTAAGACCAAAGTCACATATCACTTTAAAATTTGTTTTCAAACAGGTTGTCAATACTTATTTTAAAGAAAAGTTACTTAAACTGTAATTGAAGTATAGTTTAAATGTAACTACAATAATATGATTAATACTTTGAAACTATAATATCAAATTTCCATTGTTGGATTTCTCATTACAGAGTATCTTTTTTTCCACTGCATATTGGAGACAATGTTTTCATAGGTGAAGGTGCTGCAGTTAATGCAGCGGTTGTTGGGTCTTATGTGTACATTGGAAAAAATGCCACTATAGTATGTACATTAATTATTCGATTTTATTATATAACTACAAACAATTTGGTCACATTATATTTTAAATTTAGTATGATTTTTATAAATTATGAACATGTTAAATCACAAGATCAACTTTTATACATTGTACATATATATTTCAATAGATATTTGTTAATGTATTTAATTTCATATCAGGGAAGAAGATGTGTAATTAAAGACTGCTGTATTATAGAGGAAAATGCTGTATTACCTCCAGAAACGGTGGTTGCTAGTTTTACTCGATATGGAAGTCAAGGACCAGTATTATCAGGTGATACTGTTCCTGAAGCAATGCAAGAGTTAATGATCGAATATACTAAGTCATACTATGAACATTTTGTACCCGACAGGAATTGATATTATTTCTTCCAGAAATGTGATAAATCAATGTTTTATAAAACTCGCTTATCTAATTCTATTTAAAACTATTTAATATGAATTTAAATGTAATATCTTATTTAAACAGAGCACATTAAATTATTTTATTTAATTGCTCAATTTTGTATTTTAATTAATCAATACATTATGGAAATAGAAACGTTTAACAAGTATCTAATTTTGAATGCAATATTTACAAAAAAGTATAAAATAATCACCCAATCTTTACAAAATTATATCTTTATTTCATAATTTCTAATTTAACAATAATATTAAAATCCAATACAAATCAACACCTTCAAAAAAAATTTACTATTAATAATATAATGAGTTTCTTCATATATAAATTATTAATATCTAAATAAAAACATTCAAGTATAAATTAAATAATTAGTATAACTATGTGAATAGAAAAAATTGTACCAAATTTGTTTTAGGAATCAATACCATTCACTCCAAATAATTTAAAATTTGTTTTAATACAATACAAATGTAAATAAATATATCACACAAGCAGATACAGTCTCACTTTGAACTATTATGTATAAAAATAATTTGTGAAACTACTTTTTCTTGAAACTTATTAATACAGGATAAATTACTTCCAAGGCTTCAGCTAAATCTGATCGAGTTTTAGCACCTGTAAAAACTATCTTTCCTGTGACAAATATTAAAAGTACAACTCTCGGCCTTACTAATCTGTAAATCAATCCAGGAAACAGCTCAGGTTCATAGCTGCAGAACTGTGCATGGACTTCATGCAAATTCTCTAGACGAATAGGAAATCTGAGATCTACTGTTGCCACCAAGTTTTGTATTTTGAAGTCTAAAAACCGGACCTGCATGAAAATGAATCTACTTATCTATATATATATATATATATATATATATATATATATATATATATATATATATATCAAATAGGATATGAGCTGTAAATTAGGTGCTTACATTAAATCCTAACTTCTGTATAATACGAGCCATTTTCCTAGCTCCAATATTATTTGAAGCTTCATTTCTTCCACCTGTGCATACTAGTTTCCCAGTTCGAAATATTAAAGCTGTGCACTTCGGTTCTATAATTCTCATTACAACCCCAGAAAATCTACTAGGATTATACTCTGTGTTGCGAGTACGTCGATAAATGTCTTTCAAATTCAATTCACAGCCTAAATTTACTGTTGATACACAATTTCTAAAAAAAAAAAATCATTTGCTGCTATAGACTTGACTAAGGATGTATATAATTGCATTATAAAAATGTTTGTAGTTAAGAGAAATGTGGAAAAAATATATATATCTGTTTCAGCACCATCACAAACTTACTGTAAAATTATGTTACTTTTAGCTTCAACTAATGCACACGTAGTAGGGGTTTGATGTGTTAAAGCATTATGTGGAGTGCCTACACCTTTTGATGTAGATGATGGAGTATGAGGTTCATCAATTACCAGCGACTGAAAGCATATGTTTTTAATACATATAGAAATGTATTCCACATATTGATAAAAGCAGTACTCACAGAATCTGCTTCTTTGTATGAATTAATGGTCGGAGTATTTTCGTTAAATATAGTTGATCTATTTGGAGTCTGCAATAATAGTAATAATAAAAATAAAAACTTATTATCATATTTTAATTTTACTCACATGTTGTCCTAGTTGCAGTGGAGAAACCTGGCTGGGCGTCAAGGCACACAATACCTGGTCAGCACTCATGTCAAATGATTAAATTTACTACGTAGAGAACATATCAAATTTCAAATGCCATTATATTTTTATTGATAAAATAACAATTCCTTCAAACAAAACGTGTATCTTGCATATGTTGCACATTAACATTTGTTATATTCACAAACTGGATCTTTCAATCTGACATTACAGGATTGCAACATTGATCTATCTTGTGGTTAACTTCACTGATATGTTTGAAAGTTTTGCAAGGAGGTGCACAAACAAATTTATTTACAAAGAGTTTTAATAATTCAATTTACGTGTCAACCGAAATGAAAAAAATCACTTTATAATAAAGAAGTTTTATATTTTTCACTAATAGTGAAATAATTCCGATTTATGCTTTTATCAATAATAAAAAAATACATGTTTAATTTAACGGTTCAAATGCCATAATATTCAACTTTTGAAATAGCTTAAGAGGAAATTTGTTAAAAGTGTAATAAGTGATGCCGTATTTGTTAGATATTTGTTCAGAGTGTAACAATGTATTACTAATAAAAAGGTATAATATACAAAATGCAAAGTATAAAAATACAAAAAAATACCAGACAAATTTTTTGATGTATGCGCTCATTGTATCAACTTACAAATCTGTTGTGAAACCAATTATGGATATGTGTTAATGGATTTTCGGTTTGAATTTTTTTTTTTTGGAAATTTATTTTAACTTTCAATGGATTTGAGGTGAGGTTTTTACATATATTATACGTATGTAATTATATATTTATGTAATTTCAGTTTTTACTTCGATTGCAATAAAAATAATCAATAAGTGTACGATAGTGATATAACAGTGACTAAAATATATAGCATTATAATTAGATATTCATATAAATTAATTGTATATTTAATATTTGATATGGATAATTGAATATATTCATGAAATTCAAAGGTTAGACATGGGTTAGACTATCCTTTATTCTATTATTATGTACACATTGCTAGGACATATATACTATAAAAACATCATTTTTAATCTTGTCCTTCAATGAATTTTGATAAGAAATCTTTTGGTTTTGGTTCATATGTTTCTTTCCAATATCTCATGACATGTCCTTTTTGTTTCCATATTTTTGCAGTTTCTTGCAATTCCATCTGACCCTATAAATAAATTATTTTTACTAATTAGAATATAATTATTGGTATAAGTTGCAATACCTTTATCACGAGCATATCGATAATTCGTATGTCAGTAAGATGCTTGTTTTTTTCGAATTCTTCTCTCAATTTGTCTCGGCACTGCTCAACATTCTTTGGTATGTGATAATCCATAACTAGAATAAAATATTCATTTTTTTGTACTTATAAAACAAGAAATAAGCTTAAAATAGATTTAGGTATTATCACAGTATTTCTTGGTTTAAATTCTAAATCATTTTACAAAAATTTAAATCAAATATTACGCAAGTACATACTCAGATTGGAGTTGATTGTGTATAAGTTTGTAAATTAATAGTGATTAAAGTTATTGGTAATAATAAAATTCAAGTACTAACGATAAAAAGAATATACTTTCAAGAACATAATTAATGATAATTCTTAGCAACCTAATTGATGTAACATTTTGATGCAATATAATTCATTCAATGATGTGCAAGTATAAAAGGTTCTATTACCCATGTAGGGAATGTATCTGTGCCAGGCCTTATATAAGTTTAGAACTCGCTGCCTTGCCTCTGCTCTATCGACCGAAAGCAAAGGCCGAACTTGTTTACTCGCAACGCGAGCTGCTTCACGGGCTGCCATGCTTATTTAAAAATAATAATATATTCGAAAAAATATTGTTAAAGCTCGTACTATATAATTTGACACTTAGGTTATACCTTTTAATACTTTACCTGTCAATTGAAGAAGTGCCAGATTGACGAATTTTGAGTTTAAGTATTACCTGATGTAGGAATTCTAGTAGGGGCGCCAATGCTCAGAAACTTATTAATTTACTAGAGTTAGTACCCTAGATAATATAATGGTCAGTACTGATTGCAAGAAATCTATAACGAAGTATGAGATGGAAAAAGAGCTTTACATACAAATATACATATTAAATAGTATACAATTTTCCTAATTAATTTAATGGATATGGAGACGTGTCGATTAGTTTTTTGCAAAAGTTGGTCCAGCCGTTTCGGAGATACGGAGCAAAGAATGCAGAAAATGGCAATCCGGTTTATATGATTCAAAAACCATATCACTTGTATTGACAAAATGAAGAATTGATTTAATTTTTGCAAAGGCATGTCCAGCAGTTTCGGAGATCCTTTTGATAGTATGGTCGATATTTTTGATAGTATGGATGAACCCACATGAATGGGTTGGAAAACATATAAGAAAATATATAACACATATAAGAAACATATAAAAAGTTTGGAATTTTCAAAAAAAAAAAGATTTTAGTTTTAAAAAAATATGAATTTTTATATTATGAGCTTTTAACAATATTAAATTGCGGTACGAAAAATTTCAGCAATTTTCCTTAAGGCACGATACCATGCACCACTTGTTTATTAACTTCCCTTAGCATAAGTTATAGTAATCGCAAAATTTTTTTAAAAAAATGGATGCATGTGTGTATGTATGGGTGTGCGTGTGTGCGGATACAAATTTTTGTCGACGATTTTGGGAACACGGATCAACCGATTTGAATAATTCAAAAAACATTCGATTCGTATTGATAAGGAGATGTGCTGATTAGTTTCTGGCACAGGCAGGTCTAGCCGTTCCGAAGAGAATCTGATTGCAAGAGAGCGTCTGATTTCAATAATTCAAAAAACCTTTTACTTATACTGACAAAATGAATAACTTATTTTATTTTTTCATTTTCCGTTACCTTTTCATACAATTTTTAGTCATAAATAAACGTAAGTTTCTTTCCAGCTCTCTTGCTATTGTTATTAGTTTTCAATTTGACAGACTTATCTCTGTTGACAGATGTGATATGATACACAATTACAGATGGTGTTTATTAATTAATCATAGATATTAGATAGAATCGTGAGTGTATTATATATTTAAATAAATTAAATTAAAATGTTGTCAAGCTTAGTGAAGGAACATCAATCTAAGCAATCAATACTTAAAGCAAGTCAAGGTATATTGCTATCTTTCTAAAAATGAATGTAATTAGTAATGTAATGTAATAGACTTACCATTTTAGAACAAAAGAAAAAAGAAGCAATTGCATCGACTAATGATTTGACACAAGCTTTAGTCGATCATCTTAATGTGGGGTTAGTATACTGCGATAAACATAATACATTATATACATAATTTTCTAATCACTCTTTGTATATTTTAAAGCAGTACAATTCTATAAACAATACATATTTATAAATTAATTGCCAATTATTTATTAATTATAGAGTGGCACAAGCTTATCTGAATCAAAAACGTTTAGATGCCGAGGCAAAACAATTACAAATTGGGGCACAAAACTTTGCCAAACAAACACAGCAATGGTTACAACTTGTTGAAAATTTTAGTAGTGCTCTTAAAGAAATAGGTGATGTTGAAAACTGGGCCAAAAGCATAGAATCAGACATGAAGACAATAACCCTTTCTCTTGAATTTGCATATAAAACGACTCGAGAAAGTATATGATATAGAGATAAGAACTAACAGGTGCATCTTTCTTAATGTAATATATTTGTTGAAAATGAAATGTTTAATGCATGAAATATTGAGTTATATATGTACTGTATACCAATATTTGATGAGTTAAATGTATAAAATAGTAAGTTTTTACACAATTTAGCACATCTTATAAATTATTTTTCCGAATTATAGAAATATAAAATGGTACAAAGTTCAAAATATTTTGTCTATATTCTATTGTTTTTTGCAAATATTTAACAGTAAATCTCATACTTGCAGAAACAAAGTTGTTTATTGACATACACATTTAAGTAAATTAAAATATTTATTTATAGAATTATTTAAAAATATTATAATTTCATTTTTGTTAAAAATACATAAAGTATTATATATAAACAATTTGTTTAATATACTACACAATGGCTTACATTTATTTATTATTATGGTATAAAATTCGTTGTTGTGTTAAAGCTTTTTCTAAATTAGCACATTTTGCTGAAATACGGTCATATTCAGCTTGTAGTAGACGCAGTGATGAATCTTTTTTAGCTACAGCTAGTTTTACTCTGAAATTTATATAAACATAATAGAGTTATTGTATTCTTTGAACTTAAATAAAATTCATATTGCATACGCGTTTGAATTAGACGACCATTTCATAAACATACATTTCAAAATTATTTAAATCTTTTAATCATATATGTGAAAATTTTAGTATTATGTATTACCTTGCATAAATTTGTTCTATTTCCGTTTCTCTATCTTTTTTTAGAGTACGAATATCATTATGTAAGGCAGCGATTTGCGAGTCAAATTCTTCTTTAATCTCATTTCGTATTTTATCTTTTTCGGCGATCAGATTATTGTACAGCTTAAAAAAATCAAAATGTTTGTGAGCTCATATGTTTAAAGCTTCGATGGATTAAAAATACCTTTTGAGAGTGGGTCCTTTCTACCTCCAGTTGTTTAATAGTTTGTTGTAATAAGATATTATGTTCTTCAGCTTCTAGATATTTTTGTTTTAATTCAAAAACTTTTTCTTGCATTTGCTTCTCTGACTTCGATAATTCGCACATCTCTATTTCATATTTTTCCTTTTGTCGCCTGAAATTTTTCGAAAAGTCTAAATAATTATATATTCCAAAACACCAAATTATCATTAACTATTATTATTATTATTGTTATAGATAGTGATATTTTGCTGTATATATTTAAGATATTACCGTAAACGATTTTCAGCTTGTCTTTCAATGTGCCTTCTCATTTCTTGGCTTTCTTTTTCAACTTTCTCTATAACTTTTTCAATTTGCCTATCTCTATCTATCTTGCAGGCTTCCCGTATTTCCTTCTCACTTTGCCGCAATGCTTCAACACTCTGCTTAGACAGAGCGGCTCTTGCTGCTTCCTGCTCCAATTGAGCGTCTTGTTTCAAGGCGGTCAATTCTGTCTATAATAAATTAATCACATTGGTGGACTCAAAAATTAGTTGTTATTTTTAATTGCCATTTTACCTAATTTTTATTATTTGGATATGTGCAATATTGTCTCCAATAACCGTTTTAAAGCTTTTGTAAATTTGATAATTTAAATAATACACATCCATAATAAAAAAATCAATTTAGGGATGTGTAAGAAAGGTATTAATATGCTAATGAATGAACTAATTACTAATTAATTGATATTAGAACTTATAATAACTTAAGTGTTATTTCTATCGTACTTCATATCGTTTTCTGATAGCTTCTACTTCTTGGAAATGCTGATTTTGAATGTCTTGAATAGCACGTTTATGCTGAGATTCAGCATTTTGGCGAACTTTTTCTTCAGCATTTCGCATTGATGCCACTGAATCCTCAAGTCTCCTTCTTTCTGCGCACATTTCTTCTTGCATCCGCAACCGCAATGCTTCGAGCGCTTGACGCTCACCGTTCAATTGGACTTCAAATCTGCAACAGAATTTAAAACTCTTTATCCGACTACGAGTACATCTTTATGTATTAACACTTTCCACTCGCGAATTGCGAGATTTATATGTATTTTGCCGCCGGAGAGGAAAGGGTTAAATGTTCTTTATCATTCTCCTCGAATTACCTTTCCCGTTCCCTGCTTACAGCTTGCTCTTGTTCTCTTAACATTTCTTCTCTCGTGAGGTCAACTCTACGTTGCATTTCCTGTTGGTGCTTCAAACTGGCTTCATGAGATTCTCTATTATATTTTTGACGCAACTCTTCAAGCTGACTCAAGTGCTTATTGGAAATTGACTCTAATTCATCGGCCATGCCTTTCACTGTCATTTCCTGAAAATGAAAATAACTATATCATATATTTTTATTGTAATGGCAATAATAATTGTATTATCTTCTTATATATAAAAATGAATCTTAAATGTGTTGGTAAGCGCATAACTCAACAACGCCTGGACCTATTTGGCCAATTCTTTTTTTAAAATGTTTGTTGAAGTACAAGGATGGTTCTTACGGCGAGAAAAATCGAATAATTGCCGGGAAAACTCTAAAAACAGCCCTTTTCTTTTTCACATGCAAACGTTTTCTAACTAAAACGTAGAATCAATTTGAGCTTTATTGCTATTATATGAAGTTCATATTAAATTACAAGCACTCACTGTATACTCCTCCTAAACTATTATTCGGATTTTGATAAATCTTTCTGAAGTTTGTTAAGTTAAATACTGAGATGTATGTGCAATATTGTAGAAATAAATGGAAAAAATTGCATTGCAAACAATTGAAAAATATCATCTGCCAAATATTTCAATTTACTTATGAACCTAGACAATGTTAGAACATGTATAATAAATTTTTGATTATTAATAAGAAAAATGAAATGTCTACATTATTATTGCCAAAAAGCAGCTGAGATGTGCCAGAAATTAAAATATTATAAAATACAGTATATGTATGACAGATTAAATGATACACATATGAACAGGATATGACAAACTAATTCTCCTAAAATATAAAATTATTAAGTATTAATCAGGGGGGTAAACAATAATTATTATTTTTAGGTAAACAGTAATTATTCGTATATTATATTGTAGACATGGGTACAGGACAACGTCCAACAGGTCATCTAGTTATTTATTAATTTTGGTGCAATTTACAAATAAGTTAAATATAAAATAAAGTTCAAAGAGAATTGAGATTTATTAACTTTGAAGTGTCACTATAGAATTTTGTAATTTTGACAAGGCCAATCATTCTAAACTCTAATGAATTTGTATAATTAAACCACTTTTTGTAGGCACATTATATTTTAGAATATTCCATTTAATCTATCACTATGCATAAAGTTTAACAGTTAACTTAAATATGACAAAAGAGCCCGGCCGTTCTTTATCAGAAACTAATCAGCACACGATTTCCAACAGATATCTTTCGAATAGTTTTTGAATATTTGGCAAAAACGCGAACGAAAATTTTTACACAAATCCACTATTGGTAAAGAAAAAGCTCGGCCGAAATTTGCCAAAAATAATGAACGAGATCCTTATGGAGTTTCATTGAATAGCTTTTAAATTATTGATATCAATGCAGTTGTTTTTGAGTTTTGTTCAAATAATGATTTTGACCATATTTTTTGTGTTTAAAAAATAATACCTTAATCTTTTTAGAATGGGTTTCCACCCAGCGGTCCCGGCGTAACTTTTCGGCAGCTAAAAGTTTGTCTCTTGTACGTTGAACTTCCAGGCTGTGTCTTTGCTCGGCTGCCTGCATATTATGTGCATATCGCTGCTCCGCCGTTTTCAAGTCAGCTACCAATCGATCGCACTGGGCATTAAGCGTCTTCTTGTCAGCTATTAGCTGAAAATTACACTCATATAGTAGTCAAATTACATACATATTATAGAGGCTTTGAATTGTTTGGAAAGTTTCTATCTTTCAATTATACCTGATCAATGAAATTTTGGTGCCTCCGTACCACTTCTTCAAGATCCTGTTTTTGAGCTTTCAATTTATCTTGGTGCTGTTTACGTAATGATTTTTTCTCCTTTTCATGTTCATTTTTTCTGTCGTTTAAAGCGTCTTTTAAAAGAGCGTTACTACAATTTTGCTCGTGGAGTTGTATTGATAAACTAATGATCATATTTCCCAGCTCTCTATTTGGCAATTTTATTAATTCATGCATCCTTGAATAAAAAATTCTATGGAATAGCTAATATTTTCATTTATTTTACATAACATTATATTAGGATGGTATAGAAAAACATTATATAAAGCTTTGTAGACAAACAATATCTTACTTTGGTAAATCATCATAACTCGATGAAACTCGTGCATAATCTCCAGCGCCTTGTTGTAGTTGAACGTTTTGTATTCTACACTTTGCTTCTTTCAAAATGTTTTCACAATCGCTATCCACTTTGTCCAGAAAATATAAAATATCTCTGAAATAATAATGAATTTATTTTAGAGACATTTGCATTTTTATTTACCTTATGTTAATAATTACTTATATTTTGAAGTGTTTTTTGGACATTCTTGATCCAAGTTATTACCGATACTAGCAGTCATGTTTACTAGATTTTCCATTTCCTGGTTTTTATAATTCTTTAGTATAGCTGATGTATCACCTAAAATGAAGATTAAATAATGCTAATATTTATTACTCCTCATTGACATTGGTGAATCAATTGGTTGAGAATAAAAATTTTGTATAAATTTTAACCATATATTATAAATTTTTGGAGAATTAACTTTAATTAATAAATAACTGGTTATTTATTAAACTGACCTTGAAAGTCTATATCCTCTCCTTCAATTTCTTTCAGTATTGCGGCTATTTCACCGTAAGCCGATTCGTTTAATGTAATTTCACAATCAGCTACTTTTTCTATAGGTTTTTCATCTTCTTGACTACGCTCGCTGACTGAGTCCATATCAGGGCACTCGACGTCCTGCAAACGGTCAGTGGTCAGGCCTACAAGTCTGGACGGGCTAAAGCTTCGGGACATCCAACTTTCAAATTCATAATTGCGGACTTCTGGGATGTGGGCGTCGTCATTACATTGTCTATATTCACTAAACAAAAGTTGATTATCTTATCATATACGAAAAAAATAACTTAATATAAAGACATTGTTTTTTTGGTCAGTTTTTGTACTGTAATATTTTTCTCTGCGCTTCCGTGATAAAACCTTAGCAGAAAATATTATTTAGAAAAAATTTTGGGTACAAATTCCATTACCTACAAATATTGAAAATTAAATTTATTGAATCTGTCTATTTTATCTGTAATAACTGTAGTTCTTCTAACGTAATTCGTGTTTTAGAGGCTAAGGATAATATTATCCACTCCAAACTAAAATCTTACTTTATATTTATACTCTTATTTTATACGTTTGGCGGAATGGCATTTGGCATTTTTATAAAATCGAACAAAACAAAAAACTTTAAACGTTTAGCATGTTTATTATATTAAAGAATATTCTGAAACATATGCGTTTTATATGCTAGGCTATTAAAGAACCAAGTATTATTTTTAATTTCAATTATTGTTTTATTGATTTACTAACCTGGTGGATCTCGTCGGACTAGGTTTGGAACGTCTTTTATGAAAACTTTCACTGCTTTGCTTAGAACAATATTCATTTTTAATAGGGGAGTTTTTTACTTTATAATATGTATTTATAACAGAATTAGAAGACCTAGTTATTTCGCTATTAGCAGTTGATTTAGTTGCAGGCGAAGTTCTACTTGTACTAAATTCACGTTCGGGTCTTTGAATATCACCAACGGTGGCAATGTAATTGTTTATCACTCCATCCTAAAAAAAAGTTAAATTAAAATTTCAACTATATGTCTTTTCAATTTATTATAAACACACAAACGAATTTAAAAGTATCTTTTACCTGTGATATGTCTGACTCGTGTTCTAGATAACTAGATAAATGACTTGAAGGGAATTTTACAGAATTAACTTCAGGAGTCGATGATTTAAGAATACCACTATTGAATGATTCTCTATTTTCCATGTGTAATTGTTTTTGTTCTATTATTGTCGTATTTGATTTGGATTCGTATTCATCTAGATAACTAAAGTGTTCATCGATTTCGTAACAGGCATTTTCGTTTTGAATTTGCTTACTTTCTGCCGCATGCTGTGCATTTATAGATTCAATTTCTTTTTTGTAATCTTCGATTATATTATCTGTATTGAGTTCAGATAAATCCACATTCACCTCGTGTTTTGATAAAATTTGTTCAATTTCTTCATCTGCAGATAATGCTCCACCGTCGTCTTCTATGTACTGATCATGCGCTAAATGAAAAATTTCATTTCAATTTCCAATAGATAAAAGAAAAAAGGCTTATGCTACTAAATATATTTAATTTATCTTTAATAATAGTAATTGTAAAATTGATTTTTGGTTGTGAATGTATAATCTATGTAGTGCATGCTGAACTAAAATTCTTTATTTATTAAAATTGCCTTAGAAATACCTTAATTATTACCTAAAATAGAAATTTGAAAGCCTAATATTAATATATGAAAAAAAAAGATCTTTACCAAAAACTAATCAGTACGATTCCCAACTGATGTCTATTATGTATCTTTCGAAGAGTTTTTGAAATTTCAAAATCGATTTAGGATTTTAGTGACAAACCATTGAGAATGACTAGTTACCATCAGTATTTCTAGCGAAAGGTAAAATTATACTTCGGAAAGTTAAAGTTATATAATTTTCACAGGTACCTATTGGTGCATTTTCTTTGTAGAAACTAACTCTTCCTGAAATATCCTTGGGGGTTGAAGAATTCTCGCTTGACCAGGCATCGCGTGTTGGTGTGTGGTCGATATTTGATGTGTCACTCGAACGAACACTGGGACTTCTTGAAGGCAAAGGGGGTTTCTGTGTCAGCCCAGGAGAAATTAGCAATGTTCCGTTCATCTCTTGCGATGTGCATTCTGCGATAGCATCGTTGTCTTCTTCGCTTCCTGATGAACTTTTATCACTTTTGAAAAACACCTAAAGCATCAAAGTTTTAATATTTTAATTGCAATTGCATTTTCAGAAATGATGAGAAAATTTTATACAATATCGACAATATCATATCACATTTGTTTCGGCTGCTAGATTATAATCGAGAGTTCATGTACTTATCATGTTTTCTATTTTACTGACTTTCAAGTTCATAGACATTTTTAAAGAAAACTTTTAAATCTTATATATAAAAATGAATCGCAAAATGTGTTGGCCAATTCTTTTTTTAAAATGTTCGTTTAAGTCGAAGGATGGTTTCTACGGCGAGAAAAAATCGAATAATTGCCAGGAAACCTCTAAAAACAGCCCTTTTCTTTTTCTTATACAAACGTTTTCTAACTAAAACGTAGAATCAATTTGAGCTTCATTGCTATTATATAAAGTTCATACTAAATTACAAGCACTCACTGTATACTCCTTCTAAACGATTATTCGGATTTTGATAAATTTTTCTGAAGTTTATTAAGGAAATAAATGCAATATTGTAGAAATAAATGAAAAAAAATGCAAAAAACGACATGTGATTGTTTGCATTGAAAACAAATAAAAACTATCATCTGCCAAAAATTTTAATTTACTTATGAGCCTAGACAATATTAGAATATGTATAATAAATTTATGATTATAAATAAGAAAAATGAGATGTCTACATTATTATTGCCAAAAAGCAGCTGAGATGCGCCAGAAATTAAAATAATATAAAATACCAGTATATGTATGGCAGATTCACATATGAACAGGATATGACAAATTAATTTACTTAAAATATGAAATTAAGTAGTTTGTTTTCAATATATAATTTTTTTGCATCTGGTACTAATTTTTCCACATTTTTTTTTAAATTCGTAAAAATTTCACTTTATAACAACAAATGGGAAAGTGAAGATGAATACATACAATTCGGCATTCACGATATCGATTAGGAGAAGTTTAAGAAGCAATTTTGGATATCTTAAATAACAAAAAATTAAATTAATTTAATCCAACACGAAGTACCAGTGTTATGTTATGATTATGGTTATGTTATACCGTTTAAAAGACTTTAATTTCCAATATAGTGTTGGGGCATTGAGACTCATTATTTTATTTTAAGCAGTTCTACATTTAACATCGCTCATATTATAAATGTATATGCATTTTGGCGTGAAGAGTAATTTAAAAAACAGTAACTATTATTAGGTAAACGTTAAATATTAGTACATTATATTAAAAAATTGTAGACAAGGGTACAGGACAACGTCTGTCGGGTCATCTAGTATTAATATAAACGAACCTCAACATTATCATTAAATTGCACATGGTCTTTCAGCTTGTAATTATTCGCTATAAGGTGGTCTCCGTAGTTTTCGATTTCATCTCTATCTAAATTCCTTTGGGATCCAAATAATTCGGAAGTACTAGGCGTCTGGTATTCCGTTTCTAACTCGTTAATATTCTCAGCAGAATCCCTTGCGAGCGTCTTTATACGAGCTCCCAAGCTATCGTCAGAGGAGGCTTTACTATCTGCACTAGATTCATCCCAAGATCTAACTGTGAAATAGTTTTAATATAAAGTCTTTATATCTAAAAGAGATAGAAAAATCTTTATATCTATAAAGAGATAGATGCAAACTTGTATATGACTTGTATACCTTTAATGGGTTCTGAAATCATAGATTGTAGTAATCTGGCCGAGTCAGGGCAAGATTTACTATAGACTCGTCGGGAAAGTGGCGGTGGATGCTTTTTTGGTTTGAGTTTTCTTTGTTGATTTACTGGATGATCTGCTGAAAAAGGTCGACAAGGCGAAGACAAGAAGTTGTAAGCAGTTCTTTGGCAACTATCTGGTCGGCGGCAAAATGCTGAAATAGATGAGCTTGGTCGCAGACGTTCTCGAGTTGGTTTTGTACGGCTGACTAAATTAATCTAAAAAATAAAAGGTTTAGCACTCATTGACCAATCTTTTTCAATAATGGATATATATTAATGGACATAAATTTTATGGTAATAAGAAATATGGAATAGAAAGGTAATCATTGATTCTGGTGCTCTCACACCATGGACCTTCGGGCAGATAAACATTTATTTTATTACGCATAATTATAGGAGGTATATATATTTTAATTCGTAACATTTTTTTATAAAATGATTATGGATATTTATTAAATTACCTGTGATCCTTGCAATCGTAAATCCATTCTTAGTTTCATTAATGAAGTGCCAATGTGACAATGTCAGAACCACAAAACAAAAGAAAGTTAGCGATGTAGTTCGTGTAACCGATTTTGGCATGGGCGATGTATGCCGGTGAATACAGTGCAATACTTGAGAGTGACTGAAAGTGAAACTTACCCCCTGCTTGCATGCACATCACAATTATATTAGTCATTCTGATAAACTATATTGATTTAATAAATAGTAGCACGGGTGCTACCTCCTGCAGTAACAGTGTTCGGTACGTGGTCAAGTGCGCTTACAATTTGTTTTGAAGAAATCTACCCGCAACGTTTTTTGTATACATTCGAAATTACTATGGAAACGTCTAATTGTACAGTAGCTGTAGCAAACAGGTTTATTGTCGATTCGCCAAAAGAATTATAGTTATAGGTTACGATACAATTTATATTTCATATTTTTATATCACATTGAGTTTATATATTTATATTTCATATTTTATATCACTCAATTCCAACTTTTGGAGCTTAAATCCAACTTCCTTCTAAGAATTATTTATTTTTATAAACCATCTTAAAACTTTTTTCAAAAGACCGATTTTTTCATATCACATTGAGTACTCAATTCCAACTTTTGGAGCTTAAATCCTACTTCCTTTTTAGAATTATTTATTTTTATAAACCGTCTTAAAATTTTTTTCAAAAGACCGATTTTCTTCATAATCAACAATTGAAAAAAAGTGCTATAAAAATTTGAAAAAGTTGCGAAATTACTTAACAGTTAATTTTAGTAAAGATCATGCAACGAAAGACTTAATTTGAAATGCTTTTCATCATTAACCCCTTAAATGCCTTTCAACCCTTATTTATTTCTTCTTATCCAACAGCATTCCAACTTCATTTTGAAAATGAAATTGATGTTTTCTTATATAATTACATGATATTATATTATAATTCCTAATTCTATTCTTTATAGTCTTTTTTAATCTTCAAAGCATAGATTTCCAAGTTAGTTTTTGCAGTTGTCCCCTGTGATGGTTTCCGCTTGGTAATGGTCCTCCTGTTTACTATATGGATATTTATTTCTAAGAACAGTTTCTAATAATACAGATAATTAGTATTAATGTAATTTTTAAAGTAACAACAAATTCTTTATATGTAACAAAGGCTTTATAAGTTTAAAAATAATTCCATAAAGCGAATTCCTACGACGTAGACATTGTAAGCCGTAGACCCTCATACAACTTACACATTTTGATATACATATGTAATGCTTTTTTTCTTTTTAATTTCTTTTGTAAATTTGGCATACTATATTATAAGATCTTATAATGTAAGTGAAAAGATATTAATTAACGTGGTGCGTTTTAATCCGTAGACCAGTGGCGTAACTAGACCTTCCGGGGCCCGTGACAAATTCTTTCTTTAGGGACCCTATCGTGATACTCAATTTTTATTTTATTTAGTTTTTTTTAAAATAAAAACAATATTTTGATTGACAGATCATTTTTAATTTATTGCTTTAAAAGTTAGCCAAAAAGCACTAAGAAAAACAATTATATTAAATTACAATTCAGAAATATTTCACTCTGGTGTAGGTTTGACTCATTTGGTCAATAGATTTAAATTTTGATAGAATACTATATCTCTTGATACTATGTCTAAAAAAAATAAAAAATTCTCAAACTGTTTAAAAAAACGGTCACAAAACATGAAGAAACCAATATATGTGCTTAAAATGAATCAAACTCGTTTTGTATAAAAAGTGGTCAAATGGTTTATGATTAACTTAAAATTGTATTATTGTCTTTATTTGTCTCACTTTGGACTTTAAGAGAATTTAAACTGTATATTAAACCAAACAATATATTTTCCAAGTGTTATTCAGGTACAACATGAAAAAAAAAGTGCGCGTAAGGTTCACATGCGATTGAAGTAAAACTTTTTTGCTATCGTGCGAGATGGCATTTAAGTTAATAATAAATACATTATAAAACAATTTTGAAAAATGTTTATTAGTAATATTGTAACACTCGTGGTGCACACATTTATTAATTTCAACCATTATGGATATTTATAAAAAAATAAATTATAAACTATATATTCATAATAGCATTAAAAATATTTATAATATTTGAAAACAATAATGCAACTAAAGTCATGCTTACTTCAAATATGAAATGATTGGTTTTTAATTGTAATTAGCATTTAGAACCTTTATTAGAGAAACGAAGTAATTGCTGATTAATAAATTCTATAATATTGGTTCACAAAGTGGATCATGTTAAACAACGCCGAAAGAAATATTGTTTTCAAAATTTTACTCATCATGTAATTGTATTTGAAGAACTTCATGTAATAAAATTAACATACATTCATTGACAGCTTCTATTTTTTCCTGACGATACAATCTCATTCTTTGAGCACCTGTAATATCTGTCTTGTCTATAAAAATAATTTTTATTTGAATAACTTCAAAGATTTATAGAAATTACAATATACAAATTGTATCAATAAACTTACATTTTGTACACGGCACAAATGTTTCATTCGTTTTATTATTTTCATTACAATTATTTACGAGGGATGGTGTAAAATATTCTTCTCATTCAGGCATTTTTTTATTAAATCAAGATTTGTACTATAATGTAACCTCAAAACTAATGACATTCCAATTTCCTTCTTGTATTCTTACGCATACAACGTTGATGCTAGTACGCATACGACAGATCTCTATTCACATACACGACGACTAATCACAATCGACGCGGATACAAATGATTTCGTCAAGAGCGAATGACAAACTGTTCGGGCGTAACGCTATTTCCGTTGCATTTGTACAGCTTTACTCCTTAGTTCCGCCTGAAAAAGTTTACTTCAAAAAATATTTTCCGCGTTCACTTCGGCCAGGGGCTCCTTTGTGCCGGGGGCCCATGGCATTTTGCCACCCACGCCACCTTATAGTTGCATCACTGCCGTAGACCCTCATTTTCATTTCGTGGACTCCTAAATGTTTTTTTGCTGCTACTAGAAGAATAATTTTAAAGTCTAAATGTAACATTATATAAATATAACATACTTCTGTAGTATAACATTGACATAGATTTTATTTTTTATTTTTTGAAAAATCTTTTGATAATGATAAACCTTATTGAAATGATTTAAAACAAGGCAACACATCGCTTAGAGTCTACTCTATAATTAAATAAACGAATTATTGTTCAGTTTCTGTTCTTTTTCTCTACTTTCAGTACATTCTGAAATACACCCATGCGCACATTACGTCATCTCGGTTCGAGGACAAACGTACCGCGATGCGCGTGTCGTAATAGCTACGAGTAGTTGAAATCGAATAGTCCTTCGCCTTGGTTGTGTGAAGTGCGTATTATTTATTTATATTTGAAATATTTGCACGTGGGAAATAAAGAAAAATCGTTCATTAAAATGTTTGGCGGAATTGGAGGTAAGGATAAATGATTTTATATTTCAATATCTCAACAAGTTGTTATAAATAAATATATGATTATATTTGGACGTTACCTTCAACCTAATAAGCGGTAGAACTGATTGATTAAATGTAACAGTACGAAAATATCCACTCGAGGTTTGGACGATATTTTGTTGATAGTTTAATACTTTTATCTAATTTTATAATTTTCATAAGTTGCGACGATCTGTCTCATAGATAAGGAAATGATTTGTCTATTATAACATTTAGAAATTGTTTTGTATTTTTTTAAGCAGATGATTGTTTGAAACGCATATTTCTGACATATTTTTTACTATACTTCAATAGTATTTTTGGTTTGTTATGCAGCAATTTTTGTCTATTATAACATTGTTATGCAGCAATTTCTGTCTATTATAGAAATTGTTTTGTATTTATTTATGCAGATGATTATTTGAACGGCATTTTTCTGACATAATTTTTACTATACTTCAATAGTATTTTTGGTTTGTTATGCAGCAATTTTTAATAGTCCAGTCAGAATAGTAAGTTCACCTCGGAATTCGAGATACCTAGCTGTAAGTCTGTAAATACTTGTATATTGACACCTAAAAGTTGTCTCAAAACCTACATATGTTGCGTACACCCTACCATATGTAGGGTTTTGAGATAACTTTTAGGTGTCAATATACAAGTATTTACATACTTACAGCTGGTTATCTCGAATTCCGAGATTCTTAGTTAATTTAAGCTTAAATGACTGGACTATAAAGTGCATAATGCCAAGAATTTCATCCATAAATTTTGTTTCATCGAAGGCGGGAATGCATTTAATAAATCCCGCGCACAATTTTGTGATCGCTATTGAGCTTAAGCATTGAAATTTTCAAATAAATCAATTGTTCATAATTTGTTAATATTTGAAATGAGTCTCTAACTAACAAAGTTTCCTGAAAAAAATCTAACAATAAGCTTTATTGAAAACTAATGATTACATTCTCCAAACTTAGTTTATTAATATCGAGTTTTATTTTTGAAATGTTTTGTTATTCATTTTAGCAGTTTGAAAGGAATATTTCTGACATATTTTTATTATTTTAATTTATTATTATTTTATTAATTATATGTTTCCACGTTTGCAATTCCACGAACTTGTTGAATAATATTCTGTACGTGATATAAAAGTCATGAATATTCTACGCAATATCCAATTAACTATTTCAAGGCCGTTACATGGATTTTATGGTCTCGAACAAAGAAGCAAACCCTAATCTGTTATGCTACAGGTTATAATAATTTCAAATATCGACTTTTTTCTGGTATTATTTCAATTTTTGGCGTTTTACTTTTTGCATTCATATTAAAATCATTTTTGTTCGCGATAATAATAAACTCAAATACAAATTTTGTTTCAATTAAGACATTGGATTAGTACAAAAATAGATATGAGTAGTTTTTCAATTAGCTACAAACAAGACATTCCTCTGTTCATTTTTATCTGCTTTGTTAGCGTTAAACTAAATAATTATGAAATTTCGTTGTAAACGCTATTTGAAAATATTTCTATTGTTTCGCT